TAATTCTTTCTGTAATGCTATTTATAGCTACCAAGAATAGAGTTGTGCTCATGACTGATCCTTGGGGTGTACCATTTTAAATATGTCTAGGTGATGAAAGATTTCCATTAGCTTTTACTCTGATAATCCGATTGCTTAAAAAGTTTTTAATAAAACCAAGAATGTTTCCTTGAATACCGTAGTCAATAAGTTTTTGTATTATATAATATCGCCACGTTGTGTCGAATGCCTTATTTATATCCAAGAAAAGGGCTAGTACTTGTTGGTTGCTTGCGAAGGCCTCATGAATGTCAGATTCTAAAGCTACTATATTATCAGTTGTACTTCGATTTTTTCGAAAACCACTTTGGAGTGAGGATAATAATTTTTTATTTTCTAGAAACCATACCAATCTCTTGTTTAAGATTTTCTCTATAAGCTTACACATGTTGCAGGTTAAGGAGATGGGACGGTATGATAAAGGGTCAGTTTTTGATTTGTTTGGTTTTATAATGGGGATAATAAATGCTTCAGACCATACTTTAGGTAGAACTCTTTGAAGAAAAACTGTATTAAATATGTCTAGTAAAATTATTTTTCCAGTAAAAGGTAATTTTTGGAGAAAAATAATAGGTATATCGTCTGGACCCGGTGTAGTATTTTTTGATTGGCCCAGGCTTTCTTCAAGTTCATCTAAGGTTATAGGAGTATTCAGTGGTGATTCTTGATCTATGATAACATGAGGTGAGGATTTAGTATATATTTTTTCTACGCTTATTACGGAATTTGACAGTTCTTATATGACTTTTTAATCTTGAATTACGTATATTCCATAAAGTGTTACAGAATAATTATTCCGCACATGTTCTAATGATGGAATGAGCACTGGGGGCGACATCTCTATGTTTATTTTATAACTCACTTGTATTCCTACCAAATCTAGTTTTTTCAGAAAGGCCCGGTAGAAAATATTAATCGGTAGTATACAATAGGATTTAAAACAATTTGCGTTAACAAAAATACCCAAAATATTTTTTTTTTACAAGCTAGTTGTAATTCTGTTTGGCCGATTTAGTAGGATTCTATTAGAATATTTAGGTTTGACTTAGTCCCAAAGAGATGGCAGCACTGGTTAATTGTTTACGTCTGTCATTAGTTAATTCAAAATTTGAAAATCAAATAATAACTTATTTGTCATTCCTTACAATTTGTCCATTTCTTCTTTATACTTCCTAATTTAGGTTCTGCAAAATTATGTAAGTAATTTTTATAAGCTTATTTAAAAATTATCTTGTTTACTACCATCATAAAATCTAACATCTGTCAAAAGATAACCTAACTTTTTTCCAATTAAATTATTTCTCTGGTATTTTTTATAAGCGTAGAAAAAGTATAGTCTGAAACACGTTTGGAATTGCATATTCCTCTCTCGTGAAACCGTCACACTCGCCTTCGGCTCGTGTGACAAACTTTTCACTCGAGCGGAATATGCTGTATTTCAAACTTGTTACAGAATATACTATTATGCGCAAGGAACGGTGGATCATAGTTACTATCGCTCGGGTTCTGTTCATACACGTCGGCCAAAAATTCTGATTTCACTGTTTGAGGAAGTAATTATGTCATTGTACATAAGAGTATCTATTTCGTTAAATGAATAATTACCTTGTATTTTCTTAATTTTGTTCCAGATGGTATTAACAGGTGTAGATGGGTTAATAGATGATATATAGTTTGCCCAAGTTAGTTTTTTATTTTGTTTAATTAGGTATCTCGTTTTTGCTCTATTTTTTTAAATTCTATAAGGTTTTCTTCAGTCTTATGTCTCTTAAGTTGATTGAATGCGTGTTTGCTTTCTTTTACTGCCTTTTCAATTTCTTGTAAATTTTGTATATATTATATAATTTGTAATATGTCATATTATGTTATATACAAAACTTTTTAAAATAAGCGTTACGTTAAGCAGTTTTTTGTCGGTTTCTTTCACAATTTAAACCAAGTTAGCCTTGTTTTATTATTTTGATCCCTTTAGTAAGGCACTAAATAGTTAAAAGTTATATGTAAGTATGTATTTTAAATGTTAGTATTGGAAAAAAATTACACAATCTGTAAATACTTCTTTAAATTTTAGTTTTTAGGTAACTGGTTAAAATAAAACATGTTATAATAAAGGGGTTTATTTAGAATATTTTTTGGATTTTGCTTATTTTTAACAATTTAAAACTTCTCAGAACTTGAATATTTTCTATGAGAAAGAGGTACAAAATTATGATATGTTCTTGCAATTTTAATCTCGAACACTTCGTCATTTATTACACTTGCAAACTTGCAAACTATTTGAAATCACAATTTAAATACGCACAAATAATATTTATGAAATATTTTTGACAGTTCTGACATTTCTCTATCAAACATGAATTGACCAAGTCAAAGCCATCTAAATTTTAAATTATAAATAAAACTAACAATATCGCTTCTTAACTGCATTAAAAAAAATATCTTTTTTCTACTCCTATTACGGAATTTGACCCTTCTAATATCACTTTATTCTATGGAATGACATATATTCCGCAAAGTGTTACAGAATGAAATATTCTATCATCCGATGACGGAATAAATACTCGTGGCGACATCTCTGTTTTTAATATTTAACAAATTTTAGACCGATCCAACCTCACTTTCTTCCAATTAAATTATTATTCCATGGTATTTTTTGGAAACGTAGAAAAAGTATAGTCTGAAACACGTTTGGAATTGCATATTCCGCTCTCGCTTCGGCTCGTGTGACAAACTCTTCACTCGAGCGGAATATGCTGTATTCCAAACTTGTTACAGAATATACTATTACCCATACAGCACAAGATGTCCAATGGACGTCCAATAGATTTACATTGGACGTTTGGATGTACAATGGCCGTCCATTGGACGTCCAATGGATATATGTGCTGTGTGGGTACATGGATAAAAATAACAAAACAAGATTGAAAAGATGAAGGTGGGGACTACATTTCCTGAAAGTTTCAGATTTCTATTTTTTCCCCAACATAATTATTTCTGAGGGCAGAATTGGCTAATTTTGAAAATTATCATTTCAATAATTTTTTTAATAAAGAAAATAATAGTCTATAAACTTAAAATAATAGTTACGTTTTCTATTGTTTAAGTACTTGATACCTGAAAAAAAGCAACTTTCTAGATTTAGCAGAATAGGCACAGGAGCCAGACAAAAATCACAAAAATTGGCAAATTATTACAAATCTTAAGTGGTTTACCATTCTTTTATGAGATGAACTAATTAGAAAATAATAATAAATATTGAAAACTTACTTACTAGGCAGTAAAATAAAATTACAATCATTTCAATAATTGCCACAGAAAAAAAGTAATAGCCTCTTATAAGAGAGTAAGAAAATGACACAATTTCAGGTTTCTAAAGGGTGCCGATTAAAAATAAAGCAACTAAAAATTAAAACGGCAACGGTTTTTCATATATGATACCTAAAAGATCATCCTCAAATTTTTTCATTAAAATAAAAAATCATGCAGCGCACTTTTAAATTCATTTTTGGTGTTTTTATTTGGATTGACTCCATAACAATAAGCATGCGTTTGGCAACGTGATGTGCATCAATTGATTGTTATCTGTTGATATTACACCATAGACAATGACAAAATTGGATTATGTCAGCATTTCTGTTAAATATTTATATGTATTCTTTTAGTAGGTAATACCATTGTTTTTAAAAACAATGCTAATACTCACTGAGTATGTATGTTGTGGCTTAAAAAATGCAAGTCATTTAGCCTGTGTATTTGTTAATATTTGTTTAGTTTTTAAATAAATAACCTCTAAGTAAAAGTAACGAATATGACAACTTTTAATATTGTTGTTTGTTGTCATGATGATTAAGTTTGAATCTATACAAATTTATTAGTACCTACGCAATGTTGTATTTAAAAAAGATGTATCCCTTTTTAAATAATGAAGGTAGATTTTTTAAATAATTTTCTGGGATTCCTGGGTGTCCGTAGATCATACACCTGTGTATGTGGTGCGTGACTTCTAAAGGTATGTTTTCGCTGCGACTGCTGGTAGTAACTGTCAGCAGTAACGTCTGGTAGTCGCATAGTTCTTTATATTTATTTATCTACGCCAGTGAGATAAGAACTTCTTATCCCACTCATTTTGAGTGAGATAGAAGTTCATTAACGCACGCGTTTTTCTCTGCTTTTAACCAATCAAATAAAAAAGTCAAAATGTCAAAATGTCAAAATAACCCTAAATTAAGTCTTAGACAAAAATAATTACCGTTTATTTTTTCATTTAGAGGCGTAGATAAAAATTTGTACAATATACGTGTGATAACGCTTTATTAACGTACTTTTGCGATTTCGCATGCGTACGTTATTAAAGCTCTTATCCCACTTATATCGTAAATAACTATTTAGTGCAAGTGTTTTTGCCTAATCGTCCAGTCGTCGCGTCTCAACTGCCAGCAGTCGACGTCCGAAGATCGACTGCCCAATGAGTAGTCTGGCCAATAGTTTAAATTATTTTTCACTAAAATAACCCTTACCTAGAACTATTAAGAAGGTAATTACTGGAAGTGGGCTCTATTTAATTTAAAAAACTTCCAAAAACGTTTTCCATCTTGTAAATTAATAATTTAAAGTAAAACTCATTTTGTCGGCTTCTTCACTTTCAAATCAACAAAAAGCTCCAAATCTAAACTCATTTCCATCTAACCATACCCAACTAAACTCATTTGTAACCAACCACAGACTGGAAGGCATAGAAAAACCGTCCAAATCTGTCGCTTTAGTTAAAACAATTATCATCGACTGCTGACAGGTACTACCAGGCGTTACTGCTGGCAGTCGCGACTACCAGTCACAACAAAAGCAAACCTTATAACACCCTATATAACTATCGCAAAAAATTGTGTTCTTGCCAAATGAATTGCAATAATAAAACCTAAATATACTGGACTGACTATTAAACATATGAACATATATTTTAGATCACCTTCAGGTCAATCACCAATAATGGCCTCCCCCAGACCGGACGTGTCGCCGAAATCGGCCGCGTATCCTCCGTTTAATGGTCAAATGCGCGTCGGATTTTACCAGGACACCGTCTCGACCAAGAGCAGCCCGGACAAATCGTGCAGTCCCCGAGACAACCCCCAAAGTCCTTATCCCCAGTATTCGGAGCACGTGTACTCGCCGAACACCACCCAAAACGCGAGCTACTCCTACGCTAATTCGCCTTACTACACGCATCCACCCAACTACTCTAGTACAAACCCCACACCGCCATACAACACCGAGGCCAGCTCGGCATCATACTATGACACGAGTAAGTCCCTAACGGACCAGTACCAGGCGAAAACAGTACCCAATTACAGCGCCAACTCGCCCGCGAGCAACATTTCATCGCCTGCTTCTCACCCACAACATTCCCCCAGTCTGCATTCTCCAAGCGTGCCCTCTCCCAGCGTTCACTCTCCGCACAGTCTGCACATCGCAAACGTTCAGTCGCCTAGTATGCAATCTCAAAACGTGCAATCGCCCATCGATAACACGAACTACCAGCCCGAAGAACCGGTAAAAATGCCTGAGAAACCCATGCCGCCGGTTCAAACGCCGGTATTCCCTGTCAAGAAACGAGCGTACGCAGAAGCTGAACAACAACAACATATTTTAAGATATCCACAGCAGAGTCAGGAGGAAATTATCAACAGGAATATTCAGATGGGCGAGCAGTTAAATTTAGGAGCCAATAGTTCAATGGATGTTCAAAAAACACAAATACAACAGGAAAATGATCTATCCAAGTAAGTAATACTTATGATAAATAAATAAATGGTTATAGTTCGTAGATATTAAATTTGATCTACTTCTATTGCATAATTTTGGGGGTTTTCCTTGAATATTGTTAAACATTATAAATTTCCTGCCTAACAACGTGAATAATAAACTCATTATTCACGTTGTTAAGCATCAGTGATTGGCCGATTTCAAAATTAACTGTGATTTGAACCAATCGGGTTTTACATTGGAAGAAGGCGACTATAATAATATTTAAAATTTGTAAAAAGTTAGGTTAACTATTTGATCTACTTATTGGAGTATATAAAGTTTTTGTACACTCGAGATTATGCGCAATATTCACTCATGATTTAGGTCTCGCGTCTGACGACTCGATACGTAAACCTCACCCTTGTGAATAATAGCCTGCATTATCTCTCGTATAATAATATACACTGCGCGTCAAAATTAACGCATAACAAGACTTAGTAAAAAAAACTCCAACTCTAAAATGCCTTTACCTATCTTTATAAAATTTTGGATAAAAATACTTTAACTTACATCTCAGTTTACGTGTTCAAGGGTTTTTCGAGTAAATATCCTTAAAGCCCTTTTATTTAATAATAAAAAACGCTCAAAAAAAACTTTTATAGGGAAATTTTTTTGAAGTAAATAAAAAATATGCTTTGAAAGACCATATTTTTGTTAGTACACCCTAAAAATGTTGTACAAATCAAACGAACAGTAACAAAAATACAGCGCTTCAAAGTCGTCAAAAATGACCACTTTTCAGCAAAATAATCAAAAATGGGTCATTTTTACCGACTTTGAAGCGCTGTATCTTCCTTACTGTTCGTTTGATTTGTACAGGGTGATCCCCTATAATGTCGCCCCTCTTTAACTTTTTTATTTTAAGGGTCCCAAAAAATTTAAAAGTGGTTAAGTAGGTACTAAAAAATACTTTTTTCTACGTTAAAGAAAATTGGAAAATTGATCAGTATGCAGGGAAAAACAAAAAGTTTATTTTTTTTCAATGGATCACCCTATATATGTATTTATTTTTCAATTCCTTTTAAGATTCTAAGCATATTTAAATTATTTTTAAGGTAATAAGTTGAAAAAGTTTGTCTTTCTCTTTCTGAGAACGCCATTTTTACTTATTTAAGAAGACATATTGACATAATGTCACTATAGTAAATATCTCATTTCAATGTTTTTTGAGTTACGGTAGTCTTGAACTGGGTGTGCAATATTTTAAAGAGAAAAACGACGATTTAATATTAAAAAACATATTATTAAAGTCTGAAAATCAATATCGAATTTAAAGTTTTAAATTGGTAGGCTATTGTACTTATAGCGACAGTTGAACCTGCGTTGCTATAGCACCAATTTAAAATTTCAATCAAATTCGACATCAATTGATTTTCTGACTTTAATATTATGTCTTTTAATATTAGATTTTAGCTCTCGGTGTTTTGTTTCCCTTACTTTTTCTACAACCCACTTGATACGAATATCAAATAAAAGTAGAAAACGATAAGTGACGTCATACTAAATCCAATATGGCGGACGTCCCAAGATGGATTACCTATTTCTTTACAACCTCCTTGACAGGGGTATCAAATGAAAGGGTTTGGTGAGCAGAATACGTGACGTCAATCTAATTTAAATATGGCATATGTAACTAAAAGACCAACTAACTAAATTTTAAGACTTAAAAGTAAAAAATAAATTAATATTAAAAAAACTAAAAAACACGTTTTAACGCACTAAAAAGTTTAAAAATGTAATTTACTTAAAATATGTACTATGCCAAAAATATTGGGGCTTCGTTACTTAAAACTAAAAAGTACATTCTTCCCAAAGAAACGTAACTAAAAATGGCCCTACCGTTAATTTTTAATATATTTTTAATATTATAAATTATACAGGTAGGGACATAAATAAAATACTATGTATTAAGTAAAATGGAAAACAATACATATGGGTCATCATTCCACGTCAAATCGACCACTTTTGAATCTGACCCCTTTCGATTTGGCTGATTATTGTTATATTTTTCTACCCCACTAAAAATGTTTCTCAGAATTTTTTCAAATTTTTTTACCAAACCAAAAAAAGTTAAAATTTTTCAAAAAAAAAGGCTCTATTTTTAAATACTTTTTAAAAAATTGACTAAATAGGACGTTTGATTTTTAATGTACAGGATGACACCCGGGGGGGGACCTGACGTTATTGAAATGAACAATATGTTATTTTTTACAAAAATTTAAATATACATAAAATTGTTTGGGACCTGACGTTATTGAAATGAACAATATGTTATTTTTTACAAAAATTTAAATATACATAAAATTGTTTTGTTATCAAATGTCATTTACAATTAATATCATATGCCAAATATTACAGCCTGAAGGTGGTGTCCATGCTCCAAAATGCAATCGCGATTTAACAATTTCACTGCTGACTGAGGAAGCCCTAACGACCCCCTGGTGCTGACTTTTTTGTTTCGAATTTCTGTAAAATTCGTTTACAGAACACTTTAATAAATTACATAAGATATGTTTTGGCAAAAATCAGTGCCCGTAGGGCCATGACGGCTTGGGCCGTTAAGCGCACTGAGCACCTAAAATTTTGCTAGAACAACGCTGACGTCTATATAATAATAATAATAATATAATATAACAAAAGGTTGCTTGCGTAAGCATGACGGCCTAGGCCGTCAGCCGCAGTGAATGTGTTAAGGTACCCCAACAGTAAAATCTCACGTTTGGCCTCTAAGTTCACGTGATTTGATCACTTGCAATTTGCCCATTGCCCGAAATGAAGTAGGCGCTTAAGTAAGAATTGTCAAGAATCAATGATGAGATGATGTAGATAGACACAACCTTTTTGACGTAATCTTTAACACATAAAATTAATTTCAAATGGCAAGTAATGGAAAATAATTGTATGTATTGAATTTAAATTTTTGTCAAAAAATAACCGAGTATTGTTCATTTTAAAAACGTCAGGTTCCCGAGTGTCACCCTGCACTTTTCAAAAAAAATACAAAACAAATATTCAATGTGAAAAGTTCTAGACAATTTTTAGAAAAAAACATCGTTCTTTTTAATTTTGCCATTTTTGATGAAAAACATCGATTTATTCTGAGATTAATGCCGATTTTCCCAAAGTGGTCCGACTTTTCTTTCTATTTTTTTTTAAATGATTTTTTTTTATTTATTTTCTTATAAAAACTTTGCTATTATAATAAAATCAATTTAAGTAAATGGTTCTATGATATTTTACACTTAATTTATAATCTAACCTAATAATTAAGGAGGTGCATTCCAAAACTCAGCTTATCCATATTAGGTGATTTTGAGCAAAATGTCAAAAACCTTACACCTGAGTACTAACGCATATCAGCCCTACAGAATACTTTAAACGAAATAAGTATTTATAAGGATAAAATTTATATACCTTGATTAAAAAGGTATAGCCCCAATTTGAAATAATTTTAAATTCAGACCTATAAGCCAGTTCTGACATGATATAACCTATAGATAAGGCAAGTTTTGGCATGATAGTCAATTTGTAAATGAATTTTAAATGGAAGGTAGAATATTATGACCTTTTCAGGGTATGGGGGGCTACATGTTAAATGTACAGACACCTTTAACTCATTTTTATTAAAAAGTGGTTAAGCCAAGTTTTGGAATGGATATCCTCAATTAATGATTATGAATTTATGGTTAATACGATTAACAATATTTTTTTTTACTAATTTAACAAACGATTAAGCAGCATTATTCGCAGAATTAATTTTATTATTAAAAAAAAGAAAAAAAATAGAATTACATCTGATAAGTACAAACATTTAAAAAAAAAGTCCCATTTCATCAATTTTTAAAAAAGTTATGGGTATTTAAAAAAAAGACATTTAAAAAAAGTCCTATTTCGTCAATTTAGTTATGGGTATTTAAAAAAAGACATTTTTTGAAAAATAAGTAACTTCTAAATTCTAAAGAACTTTTTTAGTGGGGTAGAAAAAGATAAAAATTCAGCCAAATCAAAACTGGTCGATTTGGCGTGGAATAGGTAGTAGAAATTAGTAACTTATTTTTGGTTGGGTAAAAAAATTTGAAAAAATCTAAAGGACTTTTTAGTGGGGTAGAAAAAGATAAAAATTGGTCGATTTGGCGTGGAATAGTTATTAGATATATAGACCAGTGCAGATGCCTTTAAAAATGGTAAAAAGAGAAAAAAAATAACAGTAGGATGAAACCCATTGGAAAAGGAGGGGAATATAATAAAAATTAAAGGAAAAATAAATTACGGGCGATCTGAGTTCGGGAAGTGGGAGGGGGGTGTTTAAGGGTAAAAAATGGTTTATCTCGATTTCCGGCAAAACTACAAGTCCTATGGAAAAAAGTTAAATGTCAAAGTTGTAGGTAATAAAAAGATATACAACTTTTGCATTTACAATTTTTTCACATAACCTCAAAATTTATGTGAAAAATTCAAAAAACCAAGTTTTTGGTTTTTTATTTTTATCTTTTTCAAAAAAAAAAATTTTTCCACGAAATTTGGTGAAAACTTTTATGTCCCAAATACACTGCAATTTATTTGATTTTAAATATTTATTATTTCGCCTTATTTTGACTTAATATAAAAAAGCACCCTAATTTTCAATCGAAAATTCTCGCGTCAAAATATCAGCTTTTTTCAAAAAGTCGGTGTGCTTTTTTGTCGATGAACTCTCTACTTTCTGATGGTGTAAAAAAAATATATACATTACTATGGTAAATGTTCTCAGAAAATACAAAAAATATTATAATGAATAACGTAATCAGAATGAAGTATCTAAATTCAATAGTATGATTTACATGTATTTTTATATTTTATGAGATTTTCTGACATAAATGTTATTAGAATTTAATAAATAAACTTTTTAACTAAAAAAAATTGCAACAATCACATTTTTTTGATGAAATTGTACATAATGATTAAAATAAATTTTCGAATTCGAGTTTTTTTCGTTATTCATTATAATATTTTTTTGCATTTTCTGAGAACATTTACCATAGTAATGTATATTTTTTTACACCATCAGAAAGTAGAGATTTCAACAAACAAAAAGCACACCGACTTTTTGAAAAAAGCTGATATTCTGACGCGAGAATTTTCGATTGAAAATTAGGGTGCTTTTTTGATATTAAGTCAAAATAAGGCGAAATAATAAATATTTCAAATCAAATAAATTACAGTGTATTTGGGACATAAAAAGGTAAGTTTTCACCAAATTTCGTGGAAAAAAAAATTTTTTTGAAAAAGATAAAAATAAAAAACCAAAAACTTGATTTTTTGAATTTTTCACATAAATTTTGAGGTGATGTAAAAAAATTGTAATTACAAAAGTTGTAGATCCTTTTATTACCTACAACTTTGCCATTTAACTTTTTTCCATAGGACTTGTAGTTTTGCCGGAAATCGAGATAACCCATTTTTTACCCTTAAAACCTCCCCCCTGCCACTTCCCGAAGTCAGACCGCCCGTAATTTATTTTTCCTTACATTTTTATTATATTCTTCTCCTTTTCCAATGGGTTTCATCCTACTGTTATTTTTTTTGGTTTCAAAAATTATCGACCCTCTAATAGAGGTTGGTAACATAATATTATACAGGGTGTTATGTAATTAATGTTATATATTAAAATGGGTAGTTCCTTAGGGTCCATAAAGAAGCACCTGAAACTTTTTTTTCTAAATTCCAAAGACTAAAAATAATTTATAATAACCTTTATCCTACCAAAAAGTACGCCACTGATCGACTAGGAACCGCGGATTAACCTTACCTATTACTTTTTAATGCAGTGTTGCCAAATGTAAAATTAAAAATATATTACCTTATTTGAGATGCTCAAAATGATTTAATTATTTAGAATGCAAGCTTAAACTCTGCGAAGCATGCTTTCGCGCACCCGCGTAAAAATGTCTGGACTATTTACAATTAAGTTCCTGAGTTGCTGCCTAAATCCCGTCTCTCGTAATGTGGCCTCATCGGTATACAAAACACTATGGCTCCAATCAGCATCTTCTTCATTTTTCTGTATATACAAATGGCAAAATTCCAACCGCAGTGCATAATCTCCATCCTGAAGAGCTTGAACTTTTTGTAGGTGATAGGGGTACAAACTATTTTCGTGAATCGTGCGCCACGTAACAAAGTTGGACATTTGTCCAAGTTGGGCAGTTAATCGTCTTGTACTAATTCTCGGATTTGCTTCCACTTCGTCCAAAATTTGTTCTTCAAGGGCCACAAATTCACGTCCCTGAGCCCGACCCCTATCACCAACAAATGCGCTAAATCTTCCGCGGTCCCTTAAATTTTGCACAGCACGTACAAAACTTTGCTCCGAGGGCGGTGGATGTCCGTGATTGGCGTTGTGATAATTTTGAATATACCTACCTACAAAATTCTTGCTTGACGAGCATTTTGCATCGCTTCCCCGTAACACAAAACCATATTTGTTAATTGAATATTTGTGAGCGCCCGACCCGCCATAGCATAAAATCTTTCGCACTAATTACAGTTGTATTCATTAAAAAAGCCTACAAGAATTAGAATGAGAGAAAACTGTCAACATTATTGCGTAAAACCGGCTTTCCACTGACTTAAGTCACTATAACTGACAGTAGAAAATAAAAATGCCTCGTCAGTTAAAAAGGCTTAAATAGTGTCAAGAATCGAAGAAGAATGGTCAATTCGTACCGTGGTATAATAGAAATAAAAAGTCTATTTAAAAAATTAAGCAACGCTGGGAAAAGGAAGATTTACTAAACCAAAAAGTTGGTTCAGGTCGTCCCAAAATGTCCACCCCTGAACAGGATGCTGCTTTTTTGGGATATCTGAGGATTTATGGGAAACTATACAACTATACTATACCTACTATACTGCTGGGAAGATATTAATCCAAATATTGTATTAAATTTAATTCAGTTCATCCCAAATAGATTGGCTGAAGTAATAAAAAAACACGGATGCATGACTAAATATTAAATTTTTTTTAATGTTTGTTTTTTTTCAGTTCTAAAAGGTAATAATTTTTGTAATATTATTTAATTAACCTACGACGTCAATGCTCTTTATAACCTATAGTAATTATTTTAATGACTTATGTCAGTGATAAGCCGGTTTTAAGCAATAATATTATTTTGACAGTTTTCTCTCATTCTAATTCTTGTACGCTTTTTTATTGAATACAACTGTACTTATTATTATTACTAATAAAATACAAATTTTCAAACTTTCAAAATATTTATAAAAGAATAAAAACCTGAAAAAACTTGAAAAAAATAAAAACCTGAAATCGCTAGATCACTAATTAGACCTTGTAAAAATTTGTTAACTAATGATTTTTTAAAAATCGTTTTAACATTGTGATTTAAAAACATACTTATAAAAAATATATTTCAATTTAGACACACCAGATTTAAACTTTATTCATAATTTGTAATGATTTACTTTACTTTAAGTTAATCTGGTTTAATTTATTATGTTGGTTGGTAACACTGTCAAAAAATTGTAGGTTATGTGCTCAAATTGTAAATATCTTAACTAGGGAAGTGCTTTTGGGCGTTTGGATTTATTTACACAAATTGAATATTTAACGATTAACCTGTGAACTTGTCCTAATTTCATCTGAGTAAACAGAAAGAAAAAAACCGATGAAAAAATTAATTTTATGAAGTTTTTAAATAGGTACTAATTTTTCTTATCATTGCTTAAGTTAATAGCTGGATGAGTAAATAAATACAGAATGGTATTAGAACTTTAAGGGCTTAAAACTTTTGTATTTATTTATTTTATGCAAGAAAATTTTTTAGTAACAATTTTTTACAACCGGCAACGCGCAGCTACTTTGTTGGTTTGTATCTATGTACTCACAGAACACAAGTGTGTAACCAGTGGCGTATCACAAAAAATATAAAAAACTTCTAATGCATATATTTTCTTTATCTTTGGGAAAATATATTTTAAAATATTTTTCCATTACACCTTATGTCAAAAGGTATTCAGTATTTTAATATATAACATTAATTACATAACACCCTGTATACTTTTCAAAAAATAATTTTGTTAATATTTAAGTTTTAGTTTGAGAAAAGTTAAATGAACTTGGTAATTATAAAATTAAAATAGTGTTACATAACTTGAAGCTTAATATTTTGCTTTTATTTCAGTAAACAACCACTTGACCTCTATAAACAAGTCTCTCAACAACAACAGCAGCAGCAGCAGCAGCAGCAACAACAACAACCTGCACCGATCCAGCAAGCACAAAAACCCATCCAAACGCAACCGGAGCTTCGAAATTACCCGAACCCGACTGCCGCCACGAATCCGTACTACTCTGGCGAGGGCAGCTATCCACTGAACATACCTTCGGGCCGAAGCCTGGGCGTCGCTCAGCAGGAGCTGGAGAGAAAGATCGATCTGTCCAATTACACGAACATGGGCTATTCCGGTCCGGACGTGAACTTCAGCAGAAACATTCAGCAGCAGTACGCCCGGCCTCCGGAGTATACGAGGAGCGCGCTCGGCGTGGGACTGGCCGGAACTGCGCAACAGACAGCCGAGCAGATTCAAACGTCCCAAGCCAACGAAATGTTGCGCTACACAAATCCCAATGTGCTAACACAGGTAACATTAACATTTTATCTTTTACGTTCAAAAAATGTTTTTGAAAGTGAATTTCCGACGCTAAATATAATCATAATAAGAGATGTAAAAACGGTTTTTTGATAAAAACATGAAAGAAAGACTAGAAAAAAAACGGGTTTTTTTTCAAATGCGCTGCAATAAGCATATTTTGTCAATAACATCAATCTTAAAAAATTTACTATTTTTTCAATATGATATTTTGAGCAATATGTGTATTAAAAATAAAATTAAATGAGGCGTATACTTCAAAAGCGGCCTAACTAAAAAAAATCATATTGTGGTTTTATCTTTAAATATTCCTGTTATCAAGTGAACTAGCCTAATAAAGTGTGTTTTAATAAGAAAAGTAGTTACTACTATATTAAAATACTTTATTAGGCTCAGTGCCCCGCGTTTTATAGGCCCCGCGCACATCAAGGCATCTTAACGAAATTATTATACATTTTAGCAACATGGCAAGCTGTAAGCCAGAGATAATCTTTAGTAGGTATCGTCATCTATTATCAATGATCATTATGATAATTTATCATTCAGTTCGATGTTGCTAAATGTGTATTTGAAGTTGCCTGTATCCTTTTAAAACAATTATTATTACGCCGGGAAAAGAGTTTTTCAAAATTAAAATTAATAAAAAATATTTAAGATCAAGTGATTTTTTCTTAAACGTTAATTTCTATATTAATTGAAGAGAAAAGCGGAACCACCCAAGTGCATTTTTAAGTCAAAATTTTCTACTATCCGGTAACGCGCTTAAAAAATTTTGACTTAAAAATGCACTTGGGCGGTTTCAGCTTTAATCCCTTCAATTGTTTTTTCCTTTGATGTTTTATTGGTTTATTGCCGCTAAGCGCTATGTTAATTTTCAAGAGTAAATTTTTAGTTTAAGCCCCGCATTTTTCTTTTGCACCTGGCCTCTAAAGCTTAATTTTCATGTATCCGTTTGTCCGTTATACGTTTGTACGTTTTTATATAAAATCGTCCGATAAGAAATGTTCTAATTTTCATGCATCCGATTTTTAATGACGTTTAACGGATTGATTTGGCGATAAATAAAAATTAAGGGTCAGTATATTCACTTTACTAAATTTACCTAATGCTTAATTGTCATAGTTACAATTATGTCAACAATTGTAACAGTTAGCTGTCTAATAAATTTAAAGGTAGGTAAATATACCATATAAAAAGCATATACTACATTAAAATGTATGGTTTTAAAAAAGCAGGTCCTTTTAGTTCTGGTTTTAATATTTTATTGTTTGTCTTTTCTTTTTTTCTGTTATTATTATTAAATAAAAACATAAAAGTAGAACATTATTCACATAACGAACGTTATATTTCCGTTTTACAATCTTATTAAAAAAATATTAAAAGATTTAAAATAAAGTATCTTAAAATAACGTTAGGCGTCAAAAACAGATGTGTAGTGACAGATTAGTTAAAATTATTTTAAATTTCTCCGTCAGACGTACGAAGTTAAAACTTGACGGACAGAAAAATTGTCATAATTTTTTAATTATAATTGGACCAATAAGAGCGCTCCCGGATGAACGGACTAACGGACAAACGGATACATGAAAATTAAGCTTAATAAGCTAACGCCGGCCCTAATTTAGGCTAGTTTACTTGATAAGCGCATAATAGGAGTATTTTAAGATAAAAACCAAAATTATTTCCGCTTTTGCAGTATACGCCTCAAATTTAGAATATATTACATTTTCCATTATAGAAAATTTTGACTGAGACTAAAAAAATTGATTTCTTATTATTTGGTAGTTTATACATACGAAAACAATAACAATGTAAAAAAAACTCTAGAAGTCTATTAGGTAGCTACTCTTTTTAAGACGAAATCAAAACAAACCCTGACGCCTGATCGCCGCAGGTGGAAAGCGCGGCCCTTATTGGTCAATTCGGTGGTAATGGCGCGTGAATAACACGTGACTCTATTTATATTTAGTAAATGTCATGTAGTGGGTAAATTTTAGTCTATAAACTGGACTGGAAACATAAAAAGGCAAATGAAACTAATCTTGAAAAAAAAATATGAAAAAAAAACGGATCGTTTTTTTTTTCAAGTCACATCTCTAATCATAATATTTTGATTATAATAATTATTCCTTTCATTTTAATAGTAATATTCACCGGGTCGCAAAAAAAACACATTCGGTGCTGTATTAACATAACTTCCTTTTTATTTGACATTTTTATAAAATTATAGTTTTGTAATTTAACTTTATAAATCAATCATTATTTTGGAATTGGATATTTTCAATGGACCCATTTTTGCAAAAAATACCCAACCAACAGTATAACGTTTGCGTTTATTTTCTTAAATCAATTTAATTTAATTCAATGTTTAGTTTTTTTCCCTGTAAGGATATTTCTTTTAAATTCAAATAAAAAATAAGAAAAAGTTCAATTTTTCCCAAAAAAGACAATTTCCAAGGCCTGGGAAAAAAAGGAAAAAACAGTTTTTCCCCCAATTTTTCCGTTTTTTTTTCGACACTTTAAAACCCTAGTGCCTAGGGCGAAATCATTTAGTGCAAATTATGTGACGAAACTTTGAAACGCTCTTTTTGGGTAATTGAAAACTGCCCAAAATTTGTACAAAAATAGAATAATTAAAATTTGCTCACAAAAAATAAATGATCTGGGTAATTAAAAACTGCCTAAATTCAAACAAAATTGGATAGTTGTGGACAGTTTTCATTTGATGGATTTAAAACTGGGTAATTAAAAACTGAACATTAAAATAAATGTTTCAGGTAATTCAAAACTGCTTGGATTTAAACAAAATTAAATAATTAGGGGCATTTTATATAATTTATTTAAAACCGACTATGACAATGAGAATTACCCAACCTGATTGGTCCAAATTATTCTTACACCAGTGATAGAATGTATAAATGAAGTGATATTCCATTATAGAGGTAGAAAAATTGTATTCATAACATTATTAAATATGTCTGATATTTTGACATTCTAAGTGGTTTTGAAATTATAACATTTATAATATCAGTGGGCATATATTTTGGTAAAAAAATTATTTGAGAGAAAAAAAGTATCAAACATGGTTTTACCATAAATCACTGTGCTTTGTTTCAGGTGCTTTCAAGGTCGCTTAAATTAGACAAAAGTTTCGTTACAAGTCTATTAAAATTACTACTGTTTTTTCTATGGCTGCCATATTGGAATTTTACATGGTTAGATAGAAAAAAATCAAGGAATACAATGATGTATCAAACTACATATGGTGGCCATTATAAAAGCAAAAGATGGTGATGGTAATTCAAAACTTAGTAACATGTAAAACTTAAAACTTACTTTGTTTTAAAATTCCCAGGAATAAAAATGTTATATTTTTCGGTTTTGAAAGGTTTTTAAAACCACAAAAACTGGCTTTACTTCCAATTTATAAATTTCTTGTAATTACGCAACTTTTCTCTAAATTAACTGACCATGTGTGATAAAAAAAAATTTTTGACTCGCTTATACAGGTTGCACTAATTATCCTTCTAAGTATTATAATACACATATAAGGATACTTGGTGCACCCTGTATACACGACAGTATTAGTATATTATTATACGAGAGATAATGCGCATTATTTCGAGTGTAATACTATGCTTTTTCTACTCCATTAAAGTTATTTTTATTAAATTTTTATTTTAAAGATCATTATAGTCGCCCCTTGTATATATTAAAAATCTGTTGACCTTACTTTTTTCCAATTTAAAACCCGATTGTTTTAAATAACAGTGAATATTGAAATCCGCCAATCACTGATGCCTAACAACGTGAATATTAAGTTAATTATTTAGGTTGTTAGGCAGGGCAGTTGGTTACCATTATTTACGAAAAAAAAACAAATAATGTTAATGATATGCAACAGGAGTAGAAAAAGAAATGTAATTCCGTAATAGCATTTATATGAAAATTATTTTTTTTGTAAGAACTGGTATTTTACCTTATTACTGTACCTCGTTTTAAATGTGTTCCATATCACATGAGTACAGGACTTCTCTATGTCGGTGCCCGATGCAAAGCACATCTGAATCAAAGCACAGTCACGAGGTAAAAGACCAGTTCTTAAAAAAAAATTAATTTCCATATAAATGCTATTATGGAATGAAGTTTCTTGAATGTCTTTTATACAGGGTGTTATGTAATTAATGTTATATATTAAAATACTGAATACCTTTTGACATAAGGAATAAAGGAAAAATATTTAAAAAAATATTTTTTCCAAAGATAAAGAAAAAATATGAATTAGAAGTTTTTTATATTTTTTGTTATACGCCACTGGTTACAGACTTGGTTTATCTCTGCACACTTGTATTCTGTGAGTACATAGATACCAACCAACAAAGTAGCTACGCGTTGCCAGATGTAAAAAATTGTTACTAAAAATTTTTTTTGCAAAAAATAAATAAAAACACAATAAATACAAAAGTTTTATGCCCTTAAAGCTCTAATACCCTTCTGTATTTATTTACTCATCCAGCTATTAAGTGGAGTAGCCTGGCTAGACTTCGCCTTTTAATTATTGTATTTTGTATACGTAATTAATAAAGACATTATTATTATTATTATTATTATTATTATTATTATTAGCTTAAGCAATGATTAGAAAATTTAGTACCTATTTTAAAAAATCCATAACCACAAAATTAATTTTTTCATCAGTTTTTTTCTTTCTGTTTACTCAGATGAAATTGGGACCAGTTCACAGGTTAAACTGTTTAAACATTTAATTTGTGTAAATAAATCCAAAAGCACTTCCTTAGTTAAGATATTTACAATTTGAGCACATAACCTAAAATTTGAAAGAAATGCACTAAATTCTGTCATAAAAGTTGGCAGATTTTGTTTGAATTTACCTTCAGTACAAAAATGACATAACCAACAATTAATAAAAACGCCAAATTGACAATTTGCATTGTTAATTTTGTCATTTTTGTAATTAAGCTAAATTTAAACAATGTTTGTCAACTTCTTTGACAGATTTTGGAAACACTGTTGTTACCAACCCTAACATAATAAATTAAATTAGGCAATCAGAATAGCCTAAAGTTGCTAGTCGATCAGTGGCGTACTTTTTGGTAGGATAAAGGTTATTATAAATTATTTTTAGACTTTGGAATTTGGAAAAAAAAAGTTTCAGGTGCTTCTTTATGGACCCTAAGGAACAATCCATTTTAATATATAACATTAATTACATAACACCCTGTATTATATATAAGGCAACGCGATGTCAAATCAACTATAAAAATAAAATAGAGTTTTCTTGGTAAATGCACAATGCCTTTTAAGCTAAAAATCAAAAAATTAAATTACAGGGTTATAAGAGTCACGAAACCAGCGCACCGGAAGCTCACACCAATTACCCCAACTCTCAGTCGCTACAGACGCAGAGGGTGAACGAATCTGTGGCCGCTTCTCGACTGGCGCCGCCCCAGGAAGCGCCGTCAAACGCCTACAAGTCGGCGGAAGTGACAATACCAAAACCGACGTACAACGCGCCATCTATTGGCGGCAATATCGCCAACCTGTCGCATATTGTTGACAGGTACAGTAACGACGACAGGATGCTCAGTGGATTGCAGTCGTCGACGGGACCATATTACTCGGATAAAGGTACATAATATTTCGGCTTTTATGAAATGTTGATAGGTATATAAAATATGTCATTAATTTTTTATTCCTTTTCTTCTTCCTTTAACTACTTAGGTAGCAAAGGGCACCTGTTAAGTTGTTTCTGGGGCTTAAGGCAAAATGATGGTAATTTGGTGGCTACTGCTTTTTTTTCATTTTTGTCTGTCCTTTGCCATATTCTTTGCTTCTGTCCATGTTAAACCTTGTTTTTAAGGTTCTTTATAAATTTTATTCTCCATACCTATATTGTTTGGTCTCCCTATTCGTATTTTTCCTTTGTGTATTCTATCCATTTCCATATACTTTTCTTGATTGTTTTTTTCAATTTTTCTTCTGTAATTCTGTGTTTGATATTGTGTTGGGCCAGAAATTACCGCATATAATTTTCAAATAAAGGTTTAAAATTTGTTCATGTTTCCGTCATACATTAAAAAGTTTTTTGTGCTTTGATTAACCGCTGATTATTTAAAATTTACATTCTTAATTGTTATGAGCAAATGTGTTCAGCTATGAACTACAACAATAATACAGTAACAGCACCTATCTGACAGTTTTTTTTTAATGCAAATGTTAGATTAATAAGAAAAATTAATTATTTGCATTTAAATATAACATTTTATTGATGCCAAACAGTGTTATGTAAATTTAAAGTGTTTTTTAATTGTCTATGTAATCTTGGCTCTGATACTGTCATCAGTGTTAAAACAAATCTATGTATAAATTAAAATATTGAACTTGTGTGATTATTATAATAGTATAGTATATATACAGGGTGGCTACTTTCTAGAAAACCGAGAAATATCCGGGAAAAGTCAAAGAATGTCACGAAGTTTTTCCAGCAAAAAAATTGAGCACTAGAAATTGGCCAAAATTTAATGTTGATTTCCTTGCAAACTACTCATCTGATTTTAATTAAAAAAATTAACTGCCTTTTCAGTAACAATGCTATGGTAAAAAAAGTTCTGATTTTAATTTGATCAAATTCACTGTATATGCTGTCTATTATACAGGGTGCAAAAGTAAGAAGTTTTTTTCTCCGCGACACAAAAAATGTATTGTTGCACCATGTGGGGTGCATCAGCAATACCAGTGGATGCCAATTGGAATAATACTGTAATCTTATCTTTACTGAACATTTTTATTTTTTATTCACGTTATTATCTCCGTTTGGGATAAAGTTTTTATATTACACACATAACGTTGACTACGACCATCTTTAATTAATGCCACAATACGAATGACATCCATCACAGATAACGTTATTTTACAACTTTTACTGTCATATTCCAAAATAACTGACATCCGTTCCAGCATATGTCGACTTAACACATTTCTTTTTACATGTGCGACGACCTTATCCGATGCATTTGCTTTAAAGTATTTCAATTAGCAGCATTAAATTCTAGAAATACCAAGCAAGAAAGAGGTTTTTTTTTTGATAATGGCATAATCGCGCCGCGACCGCTCCACCTAAACTGGGTAGTAATTTCATAGAGGTTCATAGGTTTTTCTATGAGTAATTTTAAAGATGAATTTTATATTTCTCACGTCTTCTGTCACCTTATATGTGTCATCTGTCAATTGTAATCTGTCACCTGTCATTAGTCATCTGTCAACTTGACATCTGTCACCTGTCATTTGTCTTCTGTCATCTGCCACCTGTCATCTGTCATCTGTCAACTGGCACCTGTCACCTTTTATCTGTCACCTTTCATCAGTTACCTGTCATCTGTCACCCGTCATCTGTCACATGTCATTTTTCACCCGTCATTTTTTATTTAGAAAAAAATACATCTCAATGTGCCCTCATGGGCCATTACAGATAATAAAAATATAAAAATGTACATCAAAGTATGTCTATATACAGGGTGACCCAGAACTCGCGCCACAGAGAAAAGGGGGGCGTGCCGATGGCAATGGAGATGCCAAATTTAAAAATAAAAAATTTCTAGGTAATAGTGTGATCGAATGAGAGCAAAAAATCGGCAGCCAATACCGAGAGCTCTCGCCTAGGTTAAACGTAAGAGCTTTAAAAATTGCTAGGAGACGATAGAACATTGTTGTATTAAAAACATTTAAAAATCTTTTGGCCAACTGTATTTACTAAGTTGTCAAAAGCTTTCAAAAATGAGGTTATTAATCTATGAATTATACTTCAGAACGCCAATGTTTTAAAATAACGATTAGGAAAGGGCTGGGAAAAAACTCGCGTTGTCTCCCTGGCGTTGCGCCCACACTAAATAAATAAATAATTATCATTTCAGTATAATCATCTAAGGAAAACATTATTTATAATAACTTAATTTATAACCTAATATAATATTAATGACAGGAGTTTGACAGCAGTGTCACAATGAATTGGATTCCAGTGGACCAAATATTTTACATGTTTTTTATTATCAACAATGCAACCTAAGTATCCTAGCAATTTAAAGAATTCCCTATGGCCATCTATTGGGATTGGCTATCGTTTTTTATTCTTATCTCGCTTATCCTTTGCGTTAGACAATTTTAATTTTCAAATATGTGTTTTACGTTACTTTCGGCACGTTCCGGTTTTCTATGTGGCGCGAGTTCTGGGACACCCTGTATATATAAAAACCGAGAAAAAATGTTGTTTTAAAAAACGCGGCCACCCTGTTATAATTGATATCTAGGGATTTTAGTGTTATTACCTATTTGTCTACGCAAATCATAACTTTAGGTGCTATGGAATAAAATCCGTTTTGAAGAAAATAATTTCATTTGAGCCTGATTTTATTTTACCTAAATATTTATTTTCAAAAGAAATGGACCTAATTTTTACATTTTACTACTTAAACCAGTGTAAGTTTACCTTATTTCACCTAAATTCTTATTTTTAAAATAAATTTTTAAATGTTACCATCAAAAACATGCTTTTTTGTAATATTGGTGTTGTCGTATTTGGATGACATAATTCTTATGCACCATGTAGTTAATTTTTGTTGTACAGGATTGGTAACCAACCACTCCTAACCTGCCTATGGCTGAGAGTGGTTGGTACCATAGGGGGGGGAATCGTAAACAAGTAAACAGCGACGCGAATGTGACATTCCTGTGCAATGTTGCCAGGTCTCATGCTTTTGCATCAGATTTTAAGTTTTTTAAATCAATGTTTTATCATGTTTTATTTAAAAATCTCATGTATTTTCAAAAAATCTAGCAAATTTGTGTTTTTTATGAGAAGTTATTTTTTTTAAACATTTCTATCATAATGAATGGTATTTTATTATTTTCAGCAATTGTATGCTTATCAGTGTTGCCAACAGCATATGGATATTTTCTCCGCCTATCCCAACAAAATTCTCCGCTTTTCGGTCAAATTCTCCGCATCATAAAATCAGTAACAAACAAAAATGAATATTCTTTTTTTATGAAAATATTGTAAATTTAGTAAAATATTATAGTCGAATATTATAGTAGAATCGTCAATCAATTTTCTCAGTAGGCTGAGACACACTTTGCGACGGCAGGGACTCTTGGTCTTTTAAGCTTTCCTTCTAATAAATGAAAAAAATCAATTTTTGCACCAATCATTTTAAATAATTAGGTAATGGTAATTTAAATTTCAACTTACTTTTTTATGCAGCTTCAACCACTTATCCATATCGAACAATGGGAAATAAACAGAAATAGACCATATTACAAAAAATAAACAACATATTACAAATTAACAACATTGTTGTAACCTTTAAAACGTCAAAATAAAGGCTTAGGATTCTTCGTTAACGATCGATCGTTCTAAATTCAAACTTCGAATGTGGACACCAGTGTTGCCAGGTCAAAGTATATTTTTTCCATAAAACTTTTTATAAATGGTTTTTTCAGTATACCATTTACTAACATTTTAGTAGACCTGGCAACGCTGCGTAACACCAGTTACGTTGTTGCCAATTGCACAACCGACTATTGAAATAAAGCGGGAAGTACGTCAAACTATAAATGATTCTGTGGACGATTGCAGGTTTATCTTATGAATGGGAACTGCAACGACCATTAAATTCTCCGCAAATTCTCCGGCAAAATCAATTCTCCGCAACATTCTCCGCAGACCCTCAAATTCTCCGAAAAGCGGAGAATTCTCCGCTGATTGGCAACACTGATGCTTATTAACAAAAACATTTTGAATGTGCCGCCGCATTAAATAATTATAATAATAATAATATTTTTACAAGAATATATCGTCAGTTATTTTAAAAATTTTGAAATCATAAAAATCTTTTTCAATAGAATTTTATACAATATTAAATTAAATTTTGTTACCACCTAAAAGTTGCTTTCCAGTACTTTTTTTCACCCAAAACAAGAAATTTTTATAAATTTGGAAACTTAAAATCCCATAGATGGAAGATCTCTATTGATAACATTATATTTTTTTAAGGTTTAAGTCAGTCACACATGTTTAACAAACCCATCTCCTCGAACAATTCGGCGTTGCCGATGTTCAGCCAAGCGAACATATCGTCGATGCAGTCGCAGTACCAGAACATGCAGGCGACGTCGGCCGCGTCGATGTTCAATCGGCAAATCAACGAGCTGCAAAACCAGTCGATGATCAACTCTGCCGTTGACGTGAAAGCGCAACAAGCGGCCGAAGCAAGAGCCAGCGCCCCTGCTTCGCAAGCCAAAAAGACCAAGAAGCCGAAATACCGAAAAACCGGTAAGAAAAAAATGGATGTGTATTTAAAAAAAATTGCAATATGCTAATTGTGACTTTATTATTTTTATAACACTAAAGAACATTTAAATCCGCATGTGTCAATTATAAATTTCACACAAACAACATTTTCTTGCAAATATAAATTATAAAGGCCGTATTACAGCCGGCAATTCTTTCGGCAATTGCAATGAAAATTGCCGTAGGCATGCGCGGTAGATACATTTCGACGAATCTCTTGCAATTGCCGAAAATCGGTCCGGATGGATTTTTATTGCCGTTTTACGGCAATTCTGGGGAGAAATCTGGTAACTTTTATGTTACCAACCCTACTACAAATTTCCTAGAGAGACGCTGTTTGTCTTAAACAGTTTAAGGTTATTTGTTTTATGATTGGCATTGTGTTCAAAGTTCTAGTATCCATTTCACTCATTAATTTTTAAATATCTCTACTAAATAACAAATAAACTTAGTGTTTACAAAATCGTATATTTTTCTTCGGTTGGTAGCACGGTAATAAACAGCAGGTTTTCTTGCCATTGCCGGCTGTAAAACAACATGCAAGACGGCCTTGAAAACTAGATGGCAAGAAAAATTGCTGCAAGAAAAATTGCTGCAAGAAGAATTGCCGGCTGTAATACGGCTTTAATAACACTGACATAGATTTAAATGCATCTTATCAGTTACCTGCAATGAATGTGTTATTTAAACGATTTATACAATTATTTTAATGCTATAGAATTTAAATTAATTGAAATTTTTTTAGGTGATATTATAATATCACCTAAAAAAATTTCAATAATATTATATTATTAACCTTATATTAATGTAACTAACTATTTATATGAATATGGTTTTGTTTCTTATATTAATAATTTTACTAGAATAACTGATAATACAAAGAGTATAATAGACCATATTTTCTTAAAAACAAAAACACAAGAGTTTAGTTCTGCTGTAATAGAAACTTATCTTACGGATCATTATATGATATTTTTTAACATTAAAAACTTTCTTTGCAAAAATATAGAAAAAAAGTGCTATTTTTGAAATAAAAAATATAAATTATCAAAAACTAAACAATAAACTCTCAAAAGAAAAATGGATTGAAGTCATCTGCTCTAATGAAACGCAAACTGCTTATTACATTTTTATAACCAAAATCAAACCCTGGGTAACAGATGCCCTTGTAAAGGCAATTCAAAACAGAGATAAACTAAAAAAAAAGCTACTAAAACCTTTCTATAGAACTAAAAGAGGAATATACTCAATTTAGGAATAAATTAAATTACTTATCAGAAATGTTAAAAATGACTATTATATAGAAAAGATAAACCAGGATAAAAAAAAATTGGGATCACATAAATGAATTAACAAATACAAGTCCAAAAAGCCAAAAAATGGGAATAACTGAAATATATAGTGATGGCGGTAATTTAACAACAAATAAAAACGTTATTTCAAATACTTTTAACACATTTTTTATAAATATAGGATACGAAATGGCAAAAATAGACACAAACTTTCAAAAAATAGACACAAAAAATTCAAATAATGCATCAATTTACCAAGATAATGTTGCTGATAATGAACTTATTTTACACATTTATAAACTAAAAAATAGCTCATCATCGGGCCCAGATAAGATTAGTTTCAAAACAATAAAAATATTCATAAATATATACTTACACCCTTAAAACACATAACAAACAACAATCATTTAATCAAGGTATTGTGCCCTTTCAATGGAGAGACTCTGTTGTCACTCCTATATATAAGTCAGGAGATGCTATAGAGGTTAATAATTACAGGCCAATCTCAGTTATTTCCAACTTTGCTAAAATATTTTAACAGTTTCCAGACTTATTTAATTTTTAAATCATTTTAATATTCTTTCAAAAAGGCAGTTTGGATTTATAAAAAATATTAGCACAGGAACAGCAGTTTTCGATTTATTTAATGAATTAACATTAAAATTGAATAAAAACAAAAAATGCTTAACTTAAGTTAGAGCCAAGGCTTTTGACACTGTTTCGCATAAATTATTAATGGAACGTTTAAATAAGGTTTGAATAAGAGGACAACCTTTAGAACTATCTACATGACCCAACACAATCAGTATGGGTGTGCCTCAGGGAACAGTGCTTGGCCCAATATATTTTTTAGTCTATAATATTTCAAGTATACCAGAACTCTATAGTCACCTTATTTCATATAGTACCTAAAATTAAATACTTAGGTGTAGTAATCGACGAACATAGTACAAATATTAATAACAAATTAAGACTTCTAATAAACAAATTTTATAATTTGCGAGATGTACTAAATCGTAAATGTTTGTTTTCGGTCTACACAATTCAATTATTGAATCAATTCTGAGATATTGTATAACAGTTTGGGGAGGTTCATTTAGCAATGTTTTAAAAGTTCTTCAAACAACTCAAAATTCAATTCTTAAAGTTATATTAAAAAAGAATAAACGTTACTCAACAATTGTACACCGAAGCGTTTAATACAGCTAAATCTTAATATGAAAATTTAATTAAGATATTTTGTTAATATAATAATATTTAACCGCTTTAACATACCTATTACTTAATTTGTATAAAATATTAAGTTAAAAGTGTAAAATTTATAAATGATATTATAATATTTAATCAACAGTATCATAACTTCAACCATAAGACGATTATAATATTTTTATTTACTTATTAACATCCAGTATTTTATTTTATATAATAATTTATTTTATTTATTATTTTAATATGCGTTTTTTAACATACATTTTTCTCTGTGTAGTAGAAAATAATAATGTGGTTATACCCCTGTATAAAAAGACACATCTGCAAAGATACATTTTCTATTTCGGTCCCAAAGTATACAACGCTGTTCCCACCGCAATTAAGAATATGAAACTTCTTGATAAATTTAAAAAAGATGCTTTATTCGATTGTTGCTGAGATTTTATTTGTTTTTTCCTGTTTTCTCTTTTTTTTACCACCTAACTTAACTTAAATTATTTTATTGCATTCTGTTTTATCTAAACATGCACGCACACTCTTTTCATTTAAAATTTCTCTTTTTAATACTTGGCATATCGGCACACTATGATTTTTTTCTTAAAAAACTAATAATCCTTTTTCTACACTGTTTGTATTTTTTTTTATATTTTTTTTGTTTTTAATCTTTAAGCGAATAGAATTTTTTTTATCTATATTAGATCGTGGCCATCGAAAAATGAATAATTTTTTCGGAATTTAAATTTTAATAATTTTGATTTTTTTCTACTTTCGGACATTTTGTAATATCAAATATTTTTTAAATCTTTTTATATTTAGCCCTTTGAACTATTAAAATTGTTTTAAAAAAATTAAAGAGTGCCTACTGTCAGTATTTGGAAAATGAATTATTGACTCGACTTGAAAACACTAAAGCCCGCTGCACAATATCCCGGTAACGGGAACAGGAACGGGAATCTGAACAGTAAAGGTGGAAAAGACTAAAAAAACACCGTTTAGGTTGCCGTTCTCGTTACTGGGCTGTTGTGCAGCGGGCTTAAGCCTGTGCCCGGTACGCACACTTCCACTGCATCATTCCAAGGTGAACATGAAATTAATGTTAAGCAGTTCTCTAATTCTGATAAGTAAAAGGCATTCAAAATTGTGTCAAATAAAAATAAATTAATTAATTGAGGCAAATAGAGCAACACTGGCCTAGCTGAAAAAAATGGCATCTTGTGTTTTTATTTTAAAATATTCCTTGGATGGGCTTATTATCTAGTGAACAAGCCCAACAAAGTGTATGTTATTATACAAAGGAGTAAGTACTCTATATATTAAAACACATTTTATTAGGTTGTATCGCTCGATAAGCGCATCCAAGAAATTTTTTCAGTTGGGCCAGTGTTGCTCTACATGTCTTAATTGTAAAAAGTTTGTCTCGAAAGTTTATACCCACAATCATCATACTTCATTCTTATATTATACTTAAATTGATCATTATGAAATTAATAATTATTTTAAAATTGAAAATTAATTATTAATAATTTTACTATATACGAGCCCTAACACAAAAATGTTCGGACACTTCATAATTTATACAGAAATATTTTTCGTGAATACTATCTCAAAATTATTAGGAGTTATGAAAAATTCAGCTCATTTTAGCATATACCCCTCGAAGCGATTTTTATTTTTAAAAAGTTTACCTTTTATTTTTAGCTTTTAAAAAAAGGCTAACTTTTAAACTTTTTTTTTGTATGAGTAAAAAAAGTTATAAATGGACCCATTAAAAAGAACATAAAATATTATACAAACCCTGAAAATTTGGTAAAAATTGTATAAATAATAAGAAAGTTATAGGGCCGGTTTTTCAATCGTTGGTTAAGTTTATCTTATGGTTAATTTCCGTAGATACTATTGTTAACACAATAGTATCTAAGAAAGTTAACCGTAAGATAAACTTAACCAACGATTGAAAAACCGGCCCATAACGATATATATATCTGCTATTTTTAAAGAGTTTTTGCAATTTTCTTAGGAAACGGGAAATTTTGCAGATATATATATCGTTATAACTTTCTTATTATTTATACAATTTTTACCAAATTTTCAGGGTTTGTATAATATTTTATGTTCTTTTTAATGGGCCCATTTATAACTTTTTTTACACATAGAAAAAAAAAGTTAAAAAGTTAGCCTTTTCTTAAAAGCTAAAAATAAAAGGTAAACTTTTTAAAAATAAAAATTGCTTTGAGGGGTATATGCCAAAATAAGCTGAATTTTTCATAACTTCTAATAATTTTAAGATAGTATTCACGAAAAATATTCTGTATAAATTATGAAGTGTCCGAACATTTTTGTGTTACGGCTCGTATATAGTATTAATTTTTTTAAACAATTTTTATAGTTAAAAGGGCTAAATATAAAAAGATTAAATAAAAAAAATAATTTTTGATATTACAAAATGTTCGAAAGTGGAAAAAATCTAAAGTAATGAAATTGAAATTATCGAAAAAAATATTAATTTTTTGATAGCCACGATCTAATATGGATCAAAAAACTTGTATTCGCTTAAAGATTAAAAACAAAAAATACAGTGTAGCAAATGGATTTTTAGTTTTCGAAGAAAAAAATCGTAGTATGCCGATATGCCACAGTATCAAATATATTTATTTCAAATAGCTTGTTTCAAGACAAGAAAATTGATTGGTCGTTCGTCGGAATCGCTCAATTGAAACCAAAGTTATGATCGATGAAATATTGGCAAAATCGTTATAATCATGAAAATTTAAAAAATCAAATCTTTCCAGAACAATTGATAAAACTTGCTAAAATTAAAATTGAATTTTTATATTGAGTCAGGGAACCCATGAAAAAATTGCCGAGGTATCTCGAAATGGCAAGGGTTTTTTTCATGTCGAATTCACGTGGAATTCCCCATATACAAAATTGTAAATATGTATTGTATATGTAAATATTGTATCTATGTTTCGAAATAAATGAATTTGAATTAATATTATTTGTTTTAGCAACTCCCACGTTGGCGGAGCAACCGCAGGTGGCTGCAAACCAGGGCTTCCAATCGTATGCCGGCCTGAAGAGTCAGGGTGCATCATCGATCGAGCCGGGCGCGATATCCTTGAAAACATCGAGCGTGGTGCCGGGCAGCGCGTTTAACTTCGGCTCGGCTGCGGCGGCTGCTGGCCTCGGCATCGCTCCCAGTCTCTACGGCGACAAGGACGCCTACCCGAACTTCCTCGACGATTTCGGCCGATCGTCGTCGAACTACTACATGGCGGCGGCGGCCGCAGCTCATCACCGAACAACGCCCGAGAGCAACGACAAACAGACCAGGGCACATCACTCGGTAAGATTTTTTTATATTCTTTGGGTTTTATTTTTAATACAGTAGAGCCAGGGGCGGATTAAAAAAAATCGCCGCCCCCATACAACTGCAAAATTGCTTCCTCTCCTCCAACTTTTTGGTATAGTTAATGTATAAACAGTAGGGTGTCCGTTATTTGGGCGATGTGCGAATTTTTTTGCTCGCACCCCCCAAAAAGTTGTAGTTTGGGAAAAAAAAATTTTTGGTAATTTTTTTAGATTTTTATTTTTTAATTAACCCGTGCCGCAAGAGGGTTAAAGATTTAATTATTGTTAAAATATGATTAAATTTTGCCTTTCACTATAGGCTTACTACTCCACGATTTTTCAATGAAAAAAGTCTGTCGAGTGGTTTTCTTATAGTTCAAACACCGCTGAACCCGAATCTGAAATTCGTTTTTTTTTTCATTAATCGTTTTTTTAGAATAGCCTGTGTCGGGAGTAGGTAAAATCGCAAATCGGATGAAAAATGGGATTAGGCTCTTTTCACATTCAAAGTCCTGTAACGTCGCCAGTTTTCAATAAAAAAATCTGAAAATTGGTATACTTATGGTTTTGACATCGCTGAACTCGAATCTGACATTTTCATTGATGACAGCTGTCAAAATAGCTGTCAAAAATCCCAAAAAACGGTTTTTTATTAAAAATGCCCATTTTATGGTTATTTCATGCGCTGAATCTGAATTTGATGCACTTTGAATTATTTATTTTCATAAAACCGAAATCCAAATCACTCAATAAAATGTACAAATGATTGAACTGTCAAATTTCAAGTTCCAAACATAATTTTACAGGGGCAAATGGGCATTTTTAATAAAAAATCGTTTTTGGGATTTTTGACAGCTATTTTGACAGCTGTCATCAATGAAAATGTCAGATTCGAGTGGTAAGCCTATAGTGAAAGGCAAAATTTAATCATATTTTAACAATAATTAAATCTTTAACCCTCTTGCGGCACGGGTTAATTAAAAAAAAAAAATCTAAAAAAATTACCAAAAATTTTTTTTTCCCAAACTATAACTTTTTGGGGGGTGCGAGCAAAAAAATTCGCACATCGCCCAAATAACGGACACCCTAATAAACAGTAGGGTGTCCCTTATTTACCAAGTTGGCTGTTTTCACTTGGGTATCATTTAAATTGTTAGTTTATAGTCTAATAACAATTTCGAATTTTTTTTAAATTTTCCGATGCCTCTTAACCAGAGCTGAGCACGAGTACTAAAAAATGTATTCGTAAAATTTTAAGTACGAGTACTTAAAGTATTTACTTGTAAGTACTTTACTCGTGCATTTGTAAAGAGGTTACGGTTACGAGTAGTAATCGTGAAAACACGAGTAAAGAGTACGAGTACTTGAAAAGAAATGTTACACAATATAATTGATTATTCTTTATACATTATACATACTTTTGCCCTGAGCTATAAAAATACAAATAAAAATACAAATTTATAAAATTATTTATTTTATAAATTAGGTCAACAATTCTTAAATAGTTTATAATGTTACCTACATACTTGTTATAAAACCTATAGGCTATAATATATTATATTATACTATATATTATAATGTATAAAATTTAACTTCCAAACAAAATGTTTTAATGCTTAGGATATTTTGGCAAAAAGTCATTATATAATAAACGGAAATCCTCGTATATGTTGCAATTACATATTTTCCTTTATCCATCTCACTTGTTATATTTTCCAACTAATTTAGACATAGTGTTTAACAGTGAGATGGGTCTGTGAATGCATGTAAAAAGAAGATTGAAGAGTAATTAACGTTACCAAATATACTACATAAGTCAAATCCGTTTACATTCTGGAAAATGTGTTACACGTTTCGGCGTTTAAGAGTGTTGGCACTAAGGTATTAGACAAACCATTGTCAGTGAATTCGGAGAGGTTAGTTACCAAATAGGAACAAGCTGATTCCGCAGAATTTGCAGATGTTATGTTTTTTAAATAAAAATTTGACTCGTAAATTTTAAATATTAACTTTTAATTTTTTTATTTTTTTAAATATATTATTCAGGTACCTACTTAGGTTTTACTTTACTGTTTTTAGGTTTAAAATGTTACTCATTTCCTTTTGTTTTAGTTTTATTAGAAATTCTGTTTTTGTTTTACATAAATTATTATTTAACCTTTACTGAACGTGTTTATTAATAAACTTTATTTTTCGTAATTCTGTAATTTTTTTTTAATAACCGTGAATTTATTCGTAACCGTAGAGCTAACCGTAACCGTAAAACCCTTTAACCGTTGCATCACTAGTATTAATATTATTATTCTCTAGAAAAGCGTCTAATCTGTCGCAAAAATTTTGGACATTTATTGTCGGACTTTTATACATGGCAATAACATTGACTTTTCCTATTTTTACCTTAACAAAATTAAAACTTTCATCATGACATACCTCTTCTAGTTATGATTTTAAATCATTTTTAACATATACACTTATTCCTCCACCTCGTGTATCATTCTGACATGAGTGATAAGCTTGATATGATTGTATTTATATTAAAATATTGCACTTCATTTAGTCTCCAGAAATATAATACAAATTCACAACACAAGAAATAATAATACTTCAACAAGTTTACTTGAAGTAGTAGTAGTAGTATGGATAATCATGTTTTTTATAATATATATTGTTAACATACAGGGTGTTAGGGGACATCCATTAATTACGTGAGACAAAAATGGAAGAAGGGGTCCAGCAAAATCTCAACAAATCTTATTTTAAGGGAGGGGGTCATTAAAAATATGTATTATAATTCAAATTTGTTAAAAAAAAAAATTATTTTTTATAACAGGTCCGCAAAGAAAGTTTAATGACTAAAATCTCACGTGAGGGATAGGGGGGTCTACCACATCTGACCAAATCTCACCAAGGGGGAGGGGGGTCCAAATTATCGGAAAAATGCCTCATGTAATTAATGGATGTCCCCTAATTTAAACGTCAACATGAACACCTTTAGAAAAAATTGCACCTTTTAAAAAATGTTTTTATAAACATTTGCACTGTTTTCGAGATACAGAACCCAGCTTTTGTACACATCTTATCATTAATATTAGCTACTTTTTGAGCCCTAATTAAATTTTTTTCATATGCCAGTGACGGAGATTTTAGGGTTACGTGAAGTTTTTTTTTGCCCCTAACTTTTTTATGTTAAAACAAAACACCTAAATTAAATGGATCTTTATTCTTAAAAAAATAAGTATAATATCACTAGGCAACAAATTTTAACTTAAAAAAAAGGTCCTGGTTAAATATAGAATTTTTCGATTGTTTATAACTGAAATAGATCCAAAATGTTTTTAAAAAAAATTTCTGAAGTCGTAAATAAAAAATAGGAGCACAGTATTTTGGTACCATTTATTGCATAGATACACCATTTGAAAATTTTAAGATGATGATACTTTTAACTTATATTTTATTATTCCATGAACAACATATCTGTACATATTGTAATAATTTAAGGCATGTTTTTTTGATGTTTTTTATCGTTCAAATTATTTTGTTTACTAATTTTTATCGTTATTATTTAACAATTTTTCTTTCTATCATGGTGCTACCCGTATCGTCTAAACAAGACTTTGGAAAATTTTTTGGTCGCCGGATTTGCGTCGAGCAGGTCAAAATCTATAGGAGTGTGCTATTTTTATTACCGACCTTTTTTATTTACTAATTTTTATCGTTATTATTTAACAATTTTTCTTTGTATCATGGTGCTGCCCGTATCGTCTAAACGAGACTTTGGAAAATTTTTTGGTCGCCGGATTTGCGTCGAGCAGGTCAAAATCTATAGGAGTGTGCTATTTTTTTTACCGACCTTTTTTATTTACTAATTTTTATCGTTATTATTTAACAATTTTTCTTTGTATCATGGTGCTGCCCGTATCGTCTAAACGAGACTTTGGAAAATTTTTTGGTCGCCGGATTTGCATCGAGCAGGTCAAAATCTATAGGAGTGTGCTATTTTTATTACCGACCTTTTTTATTTACTAATTTTTATCGTTATTATTTAACAATTTTTCTTTGTATCATGGTCCTGCCCTTATCGTCTAAACGAGACTTCAGAAAATTTTTTGGGCGCCGGATTTGCGTCGAGCAGGTCAAAATCTATAGGACTGAGCTATTTTTATTACCGACCTTTTTTTATTGTTTACTAGTGTATTTATTCAAAATTCATACAATAACAAATCTCTTTCAGTCGTCAACGGCTCAAGGAGGTGCTTATCCATTCCTGGGTGCTCCGCAAGTGCGGCCCGGCTACCCGCCGATCGGCGGACCGTTCATAGCGCCCGGAGCACAGGCGCAGCTGATGGACACCAGCTCGCCCATCTATCAGCACTATCTGCAGGCTGGCGTGCTAAACCACCAGGCCATGCTCGGCCCGCCGGGCGCGTACCCGCCGCCCGGCTACCACCCCGCGCTCAGCATGCGCCAACAGTACGACTCGATGACGCGACCGTCGTGGTTGTAGTCGAGTTTTTCGCTTTCTAAACGGGCCGAGGTGTACAGAATTTGAAGGTAACCATTTTTATTTTGTCTGTAGGGTTGTTTTATTATTTTGTATACGGGTTTAAGGGAACACCATTGTGAAGAGTCGTGAACATATTTTTTTAATAAAAGGGTTGGCACAGAAATCCCTCCCTGTAAAGTATATTCTTGTTATTTTTTTCTCCAATAAAAAAAAGTGTACACAATTTTTATGGAAAGTATTAAAAACAAAAAAAATCATATTCTATTAAGTAAATACTAAACTGACAATAAAATTTAGCATAGAAACATGTTCGTTCTATATCAACAAAAAAATCTCTTCTAATATTTCAAATGAGCTTATGTTAGAATGTCTAAATAAATGTCAAGATCATAGGTTTTGATTTAAAACATAACAAATTAAGAGTAGAGATTGTTCCTTCAATCCTCCCCTTTCAGTCTCATAAATTAAATACCATTATTAGTCTAATTTTTTAAATTTTTCTGGCCTTTTTCTATAGAAACTTTTGACCAAACATGGCCATTTGGTCAATTGGAGCCGAATGCGGAATGCACAAAAGGTGCTAGACAAAAAGGCAAAATTCGAATCTGCCACCTTCCCCATTTTAATATATATTTAATATAGATTTCCTGTGCATAACCAACCTTCACTTATGGCTTCCAAATTTTCAACAGTTTCTTTTTTAAACAGACTGGAACCTTTGTGGGATCTTATTAAATGTTAAGTAATTTCGTTACCAGAGTCAACAAAACCATAAAAACTCACTTTAAAAATTCCGGGGTAAGACAGGTTTTTTACATAAGGGTTTTGCCTGCGAAAAAACAACAAAAACCTGTGGGTCGGAGTTTTTCTAATTTTAACGGGGTTTTTGCCAACTTTTTTTTTATTAAGAACAATACTGTGGATCTTAAAAAATGTCGTAGTATTGTACATTCCATATTTTGTTAGTGGTTTAGAAATAAATAAATGGAGTGCAGAAAAGAAACAGCTTTTTTAATCAAGAATTTTTTGTAACCTACATATAAAATGTTATTTTTATTCTGAACTCTATTCTGGGATCCATATATAATAAATAGGTTTGTCCCTACCAGATATTTTGATTTCTAAATGACCATTCAGACATTTTCATGATTTAAATTAAGTTTCTTATACAATATTAAAAACAATATGTTGTAAAATGCAATTAATATTAATTAAACATTGGTTGGTATTTAATTGCATTTAAAACCTGATCCTTATTTTGCAGCTATCCATAATTATTATTGAAGCATCACATATTACAACAACAATTAGTTCAAACCGCTTTTAGACACCTTTACCCAAAAATTAAACAATATATATTACTCGAATATGCAGAATTTGCTCGTTAAACCGCCTGGACCATAAGTTGTGTAAGTGATTAGTTTCCCTAATTTTTGTTAACCAAAGACTCTTTGTAAATACTAGTTTTGTAAGGTTTAATAAGTATGTGAAGTAAAATATATTTTTGATTTATCACGAGTAAGGACAGATATTTAGCTAATGTTCTTAAGTATATCTATAGCAGTGTGCTTTTTTAGAAGTTCTGTGATTTTTTATGGTGTTTTATAACCGAAAAGTGCGTAAAATACCCTATTTTTATTTACTAATTGGCCGATTTGTTTATTGTGCTAATAAAATGTAGCTTATTATGTTAAAGAATATTATTATTATTACTAGGTAAAATTTTGTTAAATATTTTTTTATAAATACTTAATTAAGGGCAAAAAGTAATGCGTATTTTTTGTCAGTATTTGTTTTGATTCTAAAACGTTTACGAGTGTCAATTTTAGTTTTGTTAATTAATGAGTTAGTTTTATCGTAAATATTTTAGAGTTAAATCAATATTTTACCTCATTTATATTTTCTATTGAACTTGATGTTACACACTGCATTAATTTTATGTTATTTTATTACTTTAAAAAATATCAGTTGAGATATTTATTATATTTAAAAATTTTAAGAAATCAATTTTTATTTTCTGTGAAAATTTTATTTTGTATGTTGAACATTTTATTAAGCCAAGTTTTGGCAAATAAACTAATTTAAATTTAATTAAATGAACCCATTTTAAAATATTTTTTTACATTCCCAAAATGTGCAACATAATAAGAAATTTTTAATAGTTTTTAGATTTAGCAAAGTGTATGTCTTTAATAATGTAATGTACCAAATTATGTCTTTTAACTAGAACGTAGTATCTTTAAAATCTTTTACATGTGATATATTATTTAATTTTTAAGATTTTTTTACATATATTTTATGTATTTTAGCTGACAAAATTTAATACATTACATTCTTCAGCATTTTTATCAATTAAAAATCTATTCAAAATTTATATGTACAGTAATATTACGTACTATTAATTTTTATATCAGAAGAGTATGCCTTATTTAATAATAAAAATTGTAAGCATCGACAATAGGAGTAAAATTAAATACAAATTATCACTAGATTGTATAGGAAGCAACATTTGTTTATTGTTTATTACTTATTTTTAGCTAGCTTCTTATAGGATCTATAATGAAACCCAGTGTAATAAATTATATTGTTGTATAAGCTTTAAAAATCAAATTTTACTGTACAAACATTTGATCAACAATATCAATCAAATTATTCATAAAAACTTGTATATATAATATGTAAATGGAGACATAAAATGTATTGTTGTACAATGAAAAATAAATATTTAGTGATTTGTACTTATTTTTATTAAGTCATAAATTTCCTAGACAATTAATTTAGTAAATTTTATGTTTATTGGTCTATCTGGCACTCTGTTCATTCTAGTAACCATTCCAACATTAACATTTTCAGGTAGTTCCAGGTCGAAATGCAGTAATATCTGAAATAACAAATTTAAAATTGGGTTTTTGGATGTAAGCATATTACCTCTTTCAGTAAAATAATCATTTCGTTTTCGGCTATTCTTTTTCCTGGACACATCCTTGGTCCATGACCAAATGGTAAAGAAGCAAATTTATGACAATCTTCATGATTTTCCCGTAACCATCGATCGGGGATGTATTTATTTGCTTCTTTAAAATAACTTTCATCATTTGAAGTTATAGGACTAAATGCAGAAACCAAGGTCTAAAAATTAAAGTTTGTCTATGCCAAGATTTGAAAATAAAATATTATCTTTATGTTATGTTATAAGTTAATAATATTATAGTAATATATCGCATAATTGGTAATTATATTTTATTGTACACCATGTATTCATGGTAATTACGAATATAACTAATACAGCTTTTGATGCAACATGGGTGTTTTTTAAGCCAGAAATCAGTTATATAATATTGTTGCATTTGTATTTAGAACATCCTGTAAATATCATTTTCCTATAGTAATTCAAACCTACATGTTTTGGTATTAAATATCCACCAATAACAGCATCTTGCACCAAAACCCTGCTATTAGCTCCTGCAGTGGGGGACATCCTTAAAGTTTCTTTTATGCATGCTCTTAAATACCCATAATTCCCATTTTTGACATCACTCCTGGCTTTTTCCTGTATATGTTTGTTTTTGGAAAGATAATATAAAGTGAAAGCAATTGTAGTGGCTGTAGCATCTATCCCTCCAAAAAAAACTTCCATTGAAACCATTATTTTATCCTCCCAGGACAATTTATCATTACTAAATAATGCATACATAAACGGTTGATTGACCTTCACTTTTTCAGCATTTTCATTAAACTGAAGTTTTAAATTATATAAGTGATTCTTCATTATTCTAAAAGCTGTGCTTAGTTTACCTAAATTATACCTTGGATTTGATATTTACCTATAAATAACCTTGTGAGAAGATTCAAGTTTCTTATAACCTTTAGTTTTAAATAACTTCCAAATTGGAGGTCCCATTAGGGTGTCATATAATCCATCCATGAAATTTTTGCCTGCTTCCAGAATTTCATTTATCTCTGAATTTTTAAAACAATTAAATCTAGCGCCTGGACAAACAACAGAAATAGCTAAAAACTTTTATTAATAAGTGAATCATAATAGTTGCTTATTCTTTTCTAGAAAATTTGAAAATCAGAGATAGTATAAAGTATAACGTTATATACATATTATAATTCCTAAACCGAATTTGGATCACACTGTCCCAGCCAACTACCGGCCCATCACTTTATTGCCTGTTATCGCAAAAACCTTCGAGAAAATAAGTCCATTAGCCTGTTGTAGTAAACTTATTTTCTCGAAGGTACTGGGATATATTTAATTTTATTAAAAATGTATTTTTTTATAAGAGGTTAATTAGAATGCTATTTTGTAACCTAATAAACGTAGAATATCTAAAAAAAAAATGGGGATAAATCTTTTTTGCGTGTTATGCCAAAACCATGAATTTACCCTTTTGCTTTATTAAAAATAAGCGGCTCACCCTGTATATATCAAATTATGTGAACAGTATTAAAAAGTATTCTCCAAGTCTCGTGAATACTATACTCTAATTTTATAAAAATCGGTGTACAAATGTGTACTCTGTCAAAGGTAGACTTTGAAATAAACAAAAATTTAAAAAAAATCATGAATTTTCAAAAAATTTCGAAAAGAGGAGCAGCTAGGATTTTGGTAAATATCATTTTTAAGTCACCAAAGGGACCCGAACAAGAAACTGCAATCAGGCATTTTTATGTGACTTAAACTTCGTTCAGGCACACCGTGTTGAGAAAAGTTCCAAATGATAATCAACCTTTTGAGCATTATTAAAAATTAGTTATTTTACAAATTATTTTACTAACCCCAGAAAAACTTTTTGGCGCTTGGTTCCTTAAGGAAAATTTTCGATAAGCGTTATCCATACGTCATTCTACATTATAAAGTGATATTAGAACGGTCATATTCCGTAGTAGGAGTATTAAAATAGTATATTATTATACGAGAGATAATGCGCATTATTTCGAGTGTAATATCCCGGTCAACATTGTAACGTAACAGTAACCAAAATGTTATGTAACGATTGTGATGTGTAACATTACAGTTACATAACCTAATGGTTGCAAATAGGTTCCTATTTCCCACTCATAGGAGTAGCATTGTTACATAACAATGTTACATTGCCGTTATGAAAATGATACATAACTGTTACGTAACATTAACAAAAATGTTATGTAAAGATTGTGATGTGTAAAATTAGTTACATAACCTGATGGTTGCAAATAGGTTCCTATTTCCCACTCATAGGAGTAACATTGTTACATTGCCGTTATGAAAATGATACATAACTGTTACGTAACATTAACCAAAATGTTATGTAAAGATTGTGATGTGTAAAATTACAGTTACATAACCTGATGGTTGCAAATAGGTTCCTATTTCTCACTCATAGGAGTAACATTGTTACATAACAATGTTACATTGCCGTTATGAAAATGATACATAACTGTTACGTAATATTAACCAAAATGTTATGTAACGATCGTAATATTACAGTTACATAACCTGACGGTTGCAAATAGGTTCCTATTTCACACTCATTGAAGTAACATTGTTACATAACAATGTTACATTGCCGTTATGTAAATAAAACATAACTGTAACGTAACATTAACTAAAATGTTATGTAACGATCGTAACATTACAGTTACATAACCTGACGGTTGCAAATAGGTTCCTATTTTACGCTTTTTTAAGTAACATTGTTACATAACAATGTTACGTTGTCGTTACATAAATGCATTATAATTGTTATGTTGTTGTTATGTATATTTTCAATGGACTACAATGTTATATTGCCGTTCAACAATCGTAATATGTAACATTAGTTACATAACCTGATGGCTGCAAATAGGTAACAATGTTACGTTGCCGTTACTTATTCACAATCGAACTTATGTTACATAACATGGCCTTTACGGTTATGTAACATTGTTACGTTGCAACGTTATTATGCTCGACATAAGAAAGTCCCGTCAGTTGAACGCTAAAGCCTAACAAATGATACATGAGGAGCATCCGTGCAAAACCGGCTAAATCTATTTTATTCAATTTTTGTTTTTTTTTTATTTCGCATCTTTGGGTTCATTTCTATCGACAACCAAGATAATTCTGTTTAAATCCGACTAAATCCATGTTAAAATCACATTTAAAAGGTAGCTTTAGGAGCAAAACCGGCCAAAACCACGTTTTTATAGCAAACCCGGTTATATCCAATAAATAATATGTGGCTTGGATATGTCGATACTACTACTAAAATTTGTTCTGTTTTTTCATGTTTGCACTAATTTTATTTTGTTAATATTTTTGAATAATCTAGTTTTTTTCACATTTTATTCGTTTTTTATTCGGTTTTCGAGCAAAACCGGCTATATCCAAAACTTTTTTTGAAATTTTGGCCTTAATATAAAGTTTTTGAAAACGAAAGTATGTCTTATAAATCAAGTACCACAAAGCCACCAAAACTCAAGTTTGCTTTTTTTTGTTTTATCTGTAAAGGCCAGGAAACCGAGAGTTTTTGCCATTTTCCCAACATTTTATTAAAGTGGATATAGCCGGTTTTGCACGGATGCTTCTCACATAATATCGTATTCTGACTTACCCATAATCAGGCATACTGTTTGAGGTCCAATGACAAATGGACATGGTGCGCTGTCTTAACTTCGTTTATATACCTAATCGAGGTGGTAATACGAGCGAGATGTAAATTATGTGTATAAGTATAAGTTTGTTACGTAACATAAATGTAATTGTTACGTAACAAACTTATAACAATAGTATTTCAATGTTACGTTACTGTTATATTGCATATTGGTAATTTTGTTATATTACAATAGTTTTACAATGTTCCGTTGCTGTTATATTGCATATTGGTAATTTTGTTATATTACAATAGTTTCACAATGTTACGTTGCTGTTATATTGCTTATTGGTAATATTGTTACATTACAATAGTTTCACAATGTTACGTTACTGTTATATTGCATATTGGTAATTTTGTTATATTACAATAGTTTCACAATGTTACGTTGCTGTTATATTGCTTATTGGTAATTTTGGTAACATCGTTACATTGCAATGTTACTCCTATGTTACATAACGGCAATACTGTGTTACGTTAAATGTTGACCGGGCGTCTATCCGTATACGGATATATTTCCGAAATGGAATTTTATGGGCGTCACAATAAATCAGGTGAGCGTCCTGATTACCCTGAATAAAGAAAACTATATAAAACGGTTACAGCATGGTAATTTGGTTACCTATATTACAATTGTTTCACAATGTTACGTTTTTGTCATATTGCATATTGGTAATTTTGTTATATTACAATAGTTTCACAATGTTACGTTGCTGTTTTATTGCTTTTGTTACATTACAATGGTTTCACAATGTTGCGTTATTGTTATATTGCTTATTGGTAATTTTGTTACATTACAATAGTTTTACAATGTTACGTTACTGTTATATTGCATATTGGTAATTTTGTTATAGTTTCACAATGTTATATTGCGTATAGGTAATTTTGTTACATTACAATAGTTTCACAATGTTACATTGCTGTTATATTGCTTTTGTTACATTACAATAGTTTCATAATGTTACATTACAATAGTATCGCAATGTTACGTTATTGTTATATTGCATATTGGTTAACTTGGAACGGTAACAATGTTACTATTATTTTAGGTAACTGTTGCGTTGCATTTTAGTAACATCGTTACTGTTTTGCCTTAAATGTTGACCGGGTGTTGACATGAATTTTACAAGGAATCAGAGCTGGAAAAGTGACTTCTAAAAAGTATCTAGTTACTTTTCTAAGATACTTTAAACTAAATAACTTAGTTACCTCTGGGCCGGTTTATCAATGTCCAGTTAAAGTTGCAGTTAGTTATCTGGCAGATAATCTCCATGGATACCATTGTTCTCACAACGATCGATATGGAATTTAACTGTCAGATAGACTAACTGGAACTAAACCAGATATTGATAAACCGGCCCTCAAAACCGGCCCTGAGTATCTTTATTTACAAGACACTTTAAAAAATACCTAAGATACTATCCAAAAGTATCTAAGATACTTTTGAGTAACTAAGATACTTTTAGATAACTAAGATACTTTTGAGTAACTACGCGTAGTTATACGAAATATCAATTATTACTTATTACATACCTTAAATTAATGGAATTTTCTTTAAAAAAATATTTATAAATTTTCACACATAGGTACGTCAGATTTTATGAATTGTCAAATAGTTTTCTTTAATTTGAGAAATAATCTAGACGTATATCACTCAACCTATAAATTTAATCTGTCAAACTATGCTCAGTAAGTTTTTTATTTGATTTTTCTTTTTGGAAAATAGTTTCATGCAAAATAATTAAAAATAAAACCCCTCGACCGCTACGCGGTCTCGTGATTTTATTAAATTATTTTGCATTCAACATTTTCCAAGAAAAAACAAACAAACTACTGAGCCTAGTTTAACCGATTAAATTCATGGTTCTCGTGATATAATATATGAATTAAAACTATAAAATTATAAAAATTCAACAAGTTGTAGGTTAGGATTCATTCTTGAATTCCACCAGTTTTCTCTAAGAAAGTATCTAAGTAATTTTAAAAGTATTTTAGTTACTTTAAAAAGTATCTTAGTTACTTTAAAGTATATAAGTTCCTTGAATATATCTTAGTTACTTTACTGATACTTAGATACTTTTTAAGATCAAAGTTAAAAGATACTTTTCCAAAGTAACTAAGTTAAAGATACTTTCTGTCCAATATAAAAAGTATATAAGATAAAGTATCTTAGATACTTTAAGTATATAAGTTACTTTTAAGTAACTTTTTTTTTTCAAGAGCTGCAGCTCTGCAAGGAATCAAAAAATAAATTCATATATAGGGTGATCCATTGAGAAAAAATAAACTTTTTATTTTTCCTGTATACTTTTTTATATACGTAGAAAAAAAATATATTTCAGTACCCACATAACCACTTTTAAAATTTTGGGACACTAAAAATAAAAAAGTTAAAGGGGGGGCGACATTATAATGTCGCCCCACTTTAACTTTTTTACTTTAAGTGCCCCAAAAAATATATATATATATAGGGGACCACCCTGTACCCCCCAAACTTTATGCCTGATTTAATTTTGACTATTTTGATTTTATATCTAGATTAAGTATGTCAAAATTAGCAATGTATCAAAAATTGATGCAAGTTTAACCCTTCAGAAATACTAAACTAAAAAAAGTGTAAAACTCCAGGAAATAACCAACCAGATATTGTTATGGGTGTCCAAATGGAGCATACTATCAAGTCCATCAAAATCACACCTTTTACTGTTCCACAGTGCCTCTTTAAACAATAATAATAATGTTTTTGTTTATTTCTTAGAATTTTTTTTCTCATTTTTGCTGGGCCTCCCTGTATAATAAGATACATACCTTCAATTGTATATCTTTGTAAAAGTTCATATAGATCATTTACAACATTATTTTCATTGGATTTGCTCTCTAAATAACTTAGAAAATCTTTTGCTACAATTTCATGTTTATTTAAATAATGGGCGACCACTGGGTTTCTTAACAATGGCGTTACCCCTGTTCTAAATTTATACCATTCATCCCCATTTCCAGGAACCACACCTTAAAATTAAACATAATTTAGGGCCCCTTTAGATTATTACCTATACATAGGGTTGGGACAGTTGAAATTTTCAAATGAAAATTTCAACTTTGAAAGTTTCAAACTTGAAATATTTCATTTAGTTGGAAAAGTGAAATTTTTAAAAATTTCAAATGAAATTTTCAATCCGAAAATTTCAACATTGCCTGTGAAACTTTCAGAAATTTCATTGAAAGTTTCGCAATTTACTGAAAATTTCGCATAAATTTCACACACAGAGAAAAGTAATCTCTTGATTTTATTATATCTGTCTTGACTCAAATAAATTATTTATTTCGATATGATACAAGAAGATATTTATTTAGTGGAAAACTTGGGTTTATTTGACTTTTTAAACTGATGGTTTGTTTAATACAAGTAAATATTTAGTTGACTTTTTATCCCAGGTTTAGTAGAATCTTACTTAAAGAAACAAAACATTTACTTGAAGTAAGTAATTCATTTTTTTAAATTAAATGTGAAGCTTTCTTAAAGAAACAAAATATTTACTTACATCTTAGTTTGGATGTAAGGGTGGAACTAAAAGAGCACTTTATAACTTTATAACTTTTATAACTTTTATGAAGAAAACAATTTATTTCAGACAAATAATTAGTACCTTTTAATATTATAATTTCACGAAATATATAGTGATTGAACCAAACAAATGTTTGCTTGTTTTAATACTATGATTTATTTATTTTGTTGTTAATTACTTGATATTTGGTCGGGAAAATTAAATTAAAAAACGTTTATTCCAATATTTTTTATTTGAACAAAACAAGTGAACACTTGTTTTGTTGTAAATACGTATTTACAATAAACATTGAAAACACACAATATAAAATTAACAATAAACAAAACATATAATATATGAGCGGACAAAAATAGGAACAAAAAATACTTCAGTCACTGAAGTTCAGTGTAAATATTAATGCACGTCATTAATAAAATACACCAAGTCTGTGGGTAAAAGTCATAAGAGGATAAGTCAAAACAAGCAATTTTTCAGCAGAACCTTAAACGTGTTCGCATTAATTCAGGAAATATATTTATGGGACATTTGAACATTTTCAAAAACTTAATTTATTATTATCAGATAGGTATCTTTGTTGAAAACACCTACCTAGGTAGGTACCTATAGTTTAAAAACAAATACATATAGTTTGCCAACCAAAATTACTTGCAATTGTCAAATACAAAAATAAACGGTTTATTTTTTTTAGTTTAAGTAAAATGTGCAATTATATTTAAAAGCAACAAGTCAAGTCTGAGACATGCATGATCTAAAATAAAATAGGTACCCATATTATCATATAACTTTGTAGTTTCCAAATTACCTAGGTACACAAAATTTTAATTAACTAAATCACTTTTACTTACCAACAAAACTAAAAAGCAAATGGGTTAAATTATTTTCTTTGAAGAATTCTTCCATACTATTAAACATAAGCACTTAAACACAAAACTATAACCGTTGATTAAACACCTCCTTCTCTTAAGTTAAGAGTCTGCTCTGCGAGTTTGTTTGCAAATGCTGCCGGCTGCCGGACAAGCGTCTTTGTCTTTGGAGTCAAATGCTCTAATTGGCTCCGCGAGTCACGTGGACATAAAAGCAAATAAATATGTATTTGCTTCAAGTAAATGTATTTTTGAAACAAACAAATCACGTGTTTACGTTAATTATATGACATACATTGTATCAATTCTATTATTTTGTTAAAATAAGATATTATATGCTTGTATTAACATTTGATAAAACTAAATCCATACAACCTATATCCAAAAAATTTAATTAATTGCTCTAAATAAATATTTCTTTACAATATTGTTGTGATTAATATTAATCACAACAATAAGTTGTTTTCAAGAAACTCATGATTTACAACCAAATAATAGTATTTTCTTATTGTAAACAAGAAGTTACTACGAATAAGACAATTTTACTTCATACAAGAAAAACTGTTTCAAATAAATGCATTTTCTTAAATCAAGAGATTACTTTTCTCTGTGCATGCGGCCTCCCCTGGGACCTTTAATAATAATTTACAACAGATTCCGAATCAACCAATAAGAACAAGTTATCAAGTGTCTGTGCGTTTTTGTTTAGTTCGGCTTAGATTTGAATACACTATAAGTAATTATTGTTACTTATATGCATAAATTAATTTAAATAATTTAATTCAGTTACCAATTTAATTTGTAAATTAAATCAACTTTAAATTTTTTTTAAAAGTCATGATTAATTTAAACTTTTACTTTTGCTATAATTGCATCGGAAAACGGATAAAAAATGCCTTTGGCTCATAAAATTTTGATGAAGTTTCTTAAATTTTTGTAAAATTTCAGTATAATACCCTAGTAACACATCGTGACGACCAAAAATTACAAGTGACGAAAACGAGACAGCAGTTCGTCAAGTACACGTAAATTTATTAAAAAGAAAATTAATTTCGCCACTTTAAGGCAATAGTAAAAACGTGACAATGTAAAGACAAGGTCCGTCACGTCGTTTTTTACAGAACCGTTGGCATATTGTAATCGTGAATATTTTAAATAGATTTTGCTTAAATTTCTTCACGTTTTTTCGACTTGAAAAAGTGACTTAATATTTTGGGTACCTATATCTTTCGAGTTACGAAATCGTCACAAATGTGTCTCGAGTTTATAACGAATTGGAGACTGATCTCTCACCGGCCCTCATTTCGAGACGGGGAAGTTAAGCGCCATATTGCTGTTGTCAGTCGCATCGTGGTCGTCTGTTTTGCGAAGTAAAGCCGTAAAATAATTATAAAAATACTATTTGTGGCAATAATAGCAACAAGCTTTTAAAAGGTATGTGTCTGTTCAGAATATTATTTGTTTATCTCGTTTTTGTTTAATAATTCCCTGTAATTCCTCTACTTAACCTAGAAAATACATGTGCTTCGAAGCACATGTATTTTTTAGGTTAATTACAGGGAATTTTATTGAAATTGCTAAATGTTGAGAAAAAATACTCTGCTCGCAAAAACCATAGTGGACGTAGTATCGAATGAGAAAAATGTTACTAAAGACGAGGTTGAAAAGCACCTCATGTATGCTTTTCAACATACGACAGGATAAAAGCACAGGTTTGTATTTAATTTGTTGCTTAATTATAATGTTCTTTTTTTAGAAAAAGATTGAAAAAAAATAAGTATGTAATAAAGTTGGAATAATGATTTTTTTCTTCAGTTTAGGTTTTGTTATGAATTTTTGATTTTGTTTTGAGTTTTTGTTTAGTTTATTTAAAATATTTATGTTCTTTTTAGGTTTTGTTATGAATTTTTTATTTTGTTTTGAGTTTTTGTTTAGTTTATTTAAAATATTTATGTTCTTCTAAAAATAAAAAATAATTTACCATCGTACTTTTTAAAGTGTTTTATTGTAAAAATCAGAAAAGTGCCTGGATTATGTAGTAAGTTTAGTTAATTAACTAATTACTTGGTGTGTTTAAAAAAGTTATATAAGCAACTACTTTCTAAACACTGCACTTAACTGAAACTGCACTACACTTTACTAACATTTCATTTTACTACAACACTGAAACAACACTGCAATTTACTAACACTACATGATCACTACACTACAAACGAATAAGTAAGTACTTTTGGTAAATATTTGGGTGGCAATATTTTTTCTTTTTTGGAGCTCCCCTGGAAAAATGTTTTTGTAATTAAAGAGTTTTAACTATTTTAGAGGTCACTAAAGAATTTAAAAAATTCCAAAAATAGTCAAAATTCGAAACTTTTTGTTTTAATTTTTTTCTCACCTCGGAAAATTTTTCTAAACGAAAAATGAGTAAATTTCTAATATTTTCAGATCAAAATATAAATTTTTAAAGATCGCTAATAATTTTTAAATTTTTAATTCATTGCATTTAATGTTTACATATATATTAATTTTAAATATTTTAATATTAATTAATACTTAATTTTTATTTTACTTTCAATTTAAATTATGAAACTTTAAGAAACTTATTCATATTTCATGCACGAAAATTTACCTTGGCGAGCAAAAAAATATATTAAATATATTTTTTTCTAAATAAGAATTGACTATTTTTGTCATTTTGAAAAAAAGGTTGAGTTAAAACTTAAAGGGAACTCTTCAAATACTTTAATTTTTATTGTCTGAGCTCCAAAAATAAAAGAGTGGAAATATATTGCCACCCTATAGTAAATATCCTGTAAATATCCTGTAAAAAATCCTGCCAAAACTAGATATGAAACCGTGGTAAAAGCGTTGGTGAAATCTATACGATTTTATAACGGAAACGTTACTAGTTTTCATGAGTGCGTGATGTATTTGAGTAAAATGCGTGATATATTCAAGATGGATAATTGTGTATTCGTGATAAATGCGTGATGTATTCGACATGAATGCGTAAGTAGTTGGTAGTGAAAAATACGTCATGTATTCGTTAAGAATACGAGATACTGTTATAGTGTAAAACTTGATGTATTCGTAACCATAACGTGGAAATTTATACCTAATTCGTCAAGACGAACAAGTGACTATATCTATGGCTAAATTTAGCGCGGTTTGGCAACGTTTTTATTTTCAATGCGTTACGATTTCTAAAGCACGTTAGACTCACGTTTTAGCAAAAACGTGTAGAAAAAGACACGAAATTGTTACTTTGTGTTACTAGGGTATATAAAAATAATAAACATATATAAATATAAAACAATGAAAGTGGCACAATCTCATTAGCTTACCAAAAAGTGCTATATCTCTCTTAGTTTTAGTAATTTTAAAAATATTTTAAAAGGAAATCTCAAGAAATTTGTGGTAAACATAGGTACCTATTTACTATTTATATTATTGGTGCAGGGGCCCACAGAGGGGTAGGAGGTAAGAGAGGCAATTTGCCATGGTCACTGACCCAGATAACATTTTCTGACTCACGGATAAAATGGAGTGAATGATTCACATAGTGAAAGCATTTATGCAGTCAAAGTGAATTCACGGAAACGATTCCGATTCTATTTTTAAATTCGGCGCGCTCTTCCTGTAGCAGGCGTTGTTTACCCGGTATAATCATAACCTCACTATTTTTAATTCTCTTTTTAGTTGGTTTGTTCTGTCATTATCACATTACGCTTTTTCTAAATTTAGCTGGGCAAATAATATTAAATATTGATTTAATTAATTAATTTATGCTTATTATAGCGGTAAGTACCTACTTAAAAGTTCATAAATATATATTTTGATACGAAGTCAAGTAACAGAAAACAAAATACTATTTTTACTTGTAAAAAATTATTTCTATGAATCAATTAAAGCAATTAGGTACCTTTTTTTCGGTTACTCAACTTTGTATAGAAATGAAAACACTAAAAATCCTACTTATTTTTTGACATAATGGTGTTTGCATAATTATGCAAATATTTATGAGTACCTACCATAATACGTATTATTATTATACGTATATGCCATTAAAGGATAAGCGTATATTCTTTTTATTGGCATATTTAAAATTTGTTGGGTAATCAGTATACCTATACCTGATGTTAAATCGATACCATAGTAGGGGGTTGTGCTGTTTCCGAGGCTGTGTCATTTTTTGCTTTTTTTATTTTTGGGTACCTACATATAGTATGTATAATTTAAAGAAATTTATTTATAATCTTTTGTTTGAAATCCATTTTAAGATCAATTTTTTAATGTATACATCTATGATAACTTAGGTTATCTTATAGTAATTAAATCAATCACCTTTAAATTTCTTTTAAAATATTAGAACATCCCTTAAATAAATAAACCATTTTTTATAGGATTTAAATAAATAATTTTATCGAGATTTTTTATGTTCATTCAGATAATTTTTTATTTTATTTTAGTACATTTTTTTGTTCTTAAAATATAATCAAAGTCAACAATGAGTTCCTTCAAACCTGAAGAATATACAAAGAAGATCGTAAACGTCAAAAGAAAAATGACTGCACAAACAAAATTGGGTCGAATTGTTTACCGCCCTCTGAAGCAAAATACTACAGAATCCGAAGAACTGCCCCCCCCCAAAAAATATTAACATTTGACCTATCAGTATCTGAAGGAATACAGCAAGCACCTTTTATGGAATCGTGCGAAAAAGTCGCCTGAAAAAGTCATTGCCAAAAGGTGAGTTTAATATTTCAAAATTAAAAGTCCATTAATTTTAAGTTTCGTTAAACAAAAAAAAATAATATTTTATATATTATTAACCCACCCAAAAACTATAAGAGAATACCTACAGTAACAAAAAAAATAAATAAAATATAATAACAAAAAATCATTTACAATAAGTTGACTTTACAGCAAAACACCAAATAAGGAAATTTTTAAATCTCCAAATCAAATTAAAATGTATTCTTCTCCCCAAGAAATAAAAGAATGCGGAACGCTGACCAACTCTGAGATTCGAGATAGACTTGAGTAAGTACGATAAGCTGTAACTTTCTCTATATGTCGTTCTCCCTGCTACTGGAATTTGTATTAAGGATCCTAACAATTAATTAATGAACTTAATAACAGGGGGAACGACATTCATATTTTGATAAAAAGTTACTTATTTTATGTTGAATAATTCTAGGAAACTGGAAATCACTCAAATTCGCACGTTCAATTTACTTGAAAAGACGTACGCGCTCTTGCAAGGAAAGTCGCATGGCGACAGAATCAAAATTACAAAGGCTGAGGAGAAAACCACGCGAAAAATTGCCAGGATTCCCTAAGAAATCAGTAGAAGGTCTTGAAGCCCTGGAAAATGAGGATATGGATATGACCAGATTGCAATTGGTAATATTTCTTATGTTTCTTGTTAATTTTCATTCAACCAAAAAAATATCTAGACTTTAATAATTTTAATATTTTCAGCAAGAACATTGGAAAGCAATTGGGGCAACGAAACTTAGAGACTTCATTAAAATTGCTCTAAATGATTCAATGGAACCATCATTAATTAAAAAGATAACTTGGACTGGGGCAGGAAATTCATACAAATTTGAAGACACCAAAATGGCCACAGCAATGTTTGGTAAATTTTTGCACTTTAAATTACTTTTGCTCACTAAATCAATAAAACTTTTTTTTCTTAATATATAGATGCTGCAAGAGAATGTAGTACTTTTGAAGGGCCGGAAAACCTAAGGATTTTTAGTTTTGAATTTGGTCAAGCGATGAGAGTTCTAAAACAAGGTTTTAAAATAAAAGAAAATTTGCAAGAACGAAAATGCTGATCATACTAAAAAGCTACAAAAAAGGCCAAAGCATTGGTGAGCTCCAATATGTTAAAAATAATGGAAATGATAAAGTTCCCAATACATTTCTGGAGGAGACGGATGAATATGTAATCGAATACATCTCCGATTATGATAATGACGAAAACGACAATATTGAATACGTCGACCATAAAGGATATAGAGCTTCCGATGAAGAGATATAATATTATATATTATTATACATATATGTATATATATATATAAACAAATGAAAAAAACATTAATTGATGATTTCTGAACCAATTTTCAAAATGTTCCCAGGTTAAAGTTAAAATTTTATTTAAAAAAATATGTAATATTATGTACATAAATAGGTACCTTTTAGCAATTAGAACATATGTTTATTAACATATAACATCAGTGTGTTCTAAACACTTTCTTTTTAAGATACATGCCTGTACCTTAAAAAGAAATTGTCTAAAACATGCTTAAGGGTACTTTTTACCTAAAATATTTTATATTTAAAAAATTACCTGTTCAAAGCCTTTTGTTTAAAAAACACTGTTTTATTAAAAAACACTGTTTTATTAAAATACATAATATGTCAAATATTTATATAATTATTTAACATATACATATACAGGGTGTCCTAAAAGTCAACAATATCCTTTGGAGGACTGATAGACCAACTCATGACTAAGCAGAAAATCAAAACATGACCTTAGTAAAAAATAGTTAGTTTTGAGATATAGTAATTTTTATGAATTTTGTAAAACTTGACACAGCTACAAAATCTACTATTAGTTTAATTTTGAATTGTAATTAATAGCAGCCCTATTCAGGGTTACACAACATAAAATATATATTTTATGTTGTGTAATTATAACTAATAATCTAAGAATATAGAATTTTGTAGCTGTGGCACTCAAAAAACTGATCTTAGGTGTCAAGTTCCACAAAATTCTTAAAAACTAATGATTTTTTACTAAGGTCATGTTTTGATATTCTGATTAGTCATGAGACACTCTGTATGTACATATTTTTTTAAATAAAATTTTAACTTAAACCTGGGTTGGAACATTTTGAAAATTGGTTTAGAAATCACTCATTAATGTTTTTTGCATTTGTTTTTATAAACTTTGCATGTATAGTATTTTATCTCTTCATCAGAAGCCTTGTATTCCTGATCTGCGCTATAACAAAGAAATATCTTTGTATAGAGATAAAAATTAAATATTTTTTTACTTGGTTACTTAAGTAAGATCCTAATAATTATTAGGTTCTTAATTAAATTAGGCAAGTAAAAAATACTTAATTTTTATCTGTTTAGGAAGATACACCTTCATTATAGCTTTATTTGTTATTAATTAATTAATATATATTAAACATTTGGTTTATAACATAATTTGTATTTAAAATAAAATGAAAAATGAATGAAAAATAATAATACAACCTTGATTTTTTGACATCTATAAATTAAAAATCCCGCCATATTTAAAAATCGTATGCGCATGCGCAAGTTTCTTTTAACGAAATTCATTTATATGCATCCATTCTGCACTCACTATGAATACACAATAGGATGCTAAAATGAGCTCATAATTTTACTTGAGTGAATGCATATATGCATCCATAATGATTTCACTAATGTTATCTGGGGAGTGGGCTTATTTCAATATTAATATATTACACTTTTTTCATAAATTTCATAAACATTTTAATAAATTTCATAAATGTTGTGAAAATTTCAAGTGAAATTTCAAGTACAAGCAAAAAGTGAAATTTTCCCAACCCTACCTATACATGGAAAATCATTTTATACCTGTGCTATTAAATTCTTTTTTTCTATAATGATACAAAGCAGGAAAAGGTGGTCTAATAGGTTGAACTCCCTCATTCCGAAATAATGTTTTTGTATCATTTGCATTTGTGGTAATTAATAAAGTGATACCTAAGTTAAGCTTGAAAATTGGTCCTAATGTTTTGCTTATATCCAGCACTGCTTCAGTTAACCTCTCAAATTTATATGGTCCTAAAAGAGAAAGTAATAATTATTACAACAATAATGTAAATAATGTATTAGTATTTACCATTTTGCAAAAATAAATATGTATGGCCAACTAGTGGATATGATTTTAATGTAGGCACTTCAGAGAATGTTTTTATGTTTTTTAAGGAATAGCATCTTTTGGAAAAGCTATTTCTTCGTGCCATTATTCTGAATGCATGCAAAGCAACAAGTTTTAAAACCTCCATTTTTTTATAATTTAAAGGTAAACCAGTGCTGCCAACCAGTCGAAATTAAAAGCCGCGCGCATGGTCGAAAATTGCCGTGTTTTTACCACATACTTCCACAAAGTAAGTGGTTTGCAGTGTTGCCAATGGTGTTGACATAATTTACACCAGAGATATCTCTGAATTTACACACAGATTCTGTCAAAATTCCACAATATTGCCAACTATTCCACACATTAGGGATTTTGGTTTTGTTAGGTTTCTTTGGTGATTACCGCAGTAAGAGTTTCTGTGGCGAATCCCTACAAAAACTCTTTCTGCGGTAATCACTGGTGATTACATAAAGGCGTTTTCAAAAACTTACTAGATTACTTACTTTGTCAAAAAGCCTATTGTTATAACCGGTTTTAAGTTACTCGATAACTTACCCTTGTAAGTTTCCAAAAACACCAGATTTTTTTAATTTTTAAATTAAGCCGAAATCACGCTGTATATATAGAAATCTGCACATAAATTCGTCCATATAGAAATCTGCACAAAAATTCGTCTCGACAAACCTTTTAACACGAAAATAACTAAAATGCGCATTTGCAAATATATATATTTAAATACTTGTTATAAGCATTGTTAATTTAAAGATAAAGTTTACACGCGAATCCCACACATTTATGTATTACACACAAATTACACACAAAAAAATAAATTCCACACAATGCGTGGATTTCCACGTACATTGGCAACACTGGTGGTTTGTACCATATACCCAGTGTTGCCAACTCGAAAATAACAAATAACGCTACAACAATATCAAAATTCCGCTACGCTCCGCTACAGCCGAATCTATCCTAATTCCGCTACACCCGCTCTATTTTGGCTTAAAGTTTGGAATCCAAACTTTGGATACAATTTTTTTTAATGCAAATAAAGACAAGAAATGTTAAGCAAAATACTTTCTTCAAGTACCTAATAAATATAAAAAACAGGTAACAAAAAATCCTTATATAAAACCAAAACAAAAATATTCTAACGCTGGAAGTCCCGCCCGCCCGTAAAAGATAAACAATACGCAAGCCGCGGTAGCATTTATAAATCCTACGGCGGCTATAAATAGCATTTTACGGGAGGGCGGGAGAAAGTACGAAAGGAAATCTATAAATAAAGCTAAGCACAAAAGATTTTAACCCTTCATTAGTCTCACTGTTTTCTGAAACGCCATTAGTCGATTCGATGTATGAGACCGAAAGTTAAAAATTACGTTCATTAAATATCTTGTGTGTGTATTGTGTGTAATTTTTAAGAAAAACACTATTTTAATATTTTTAAATGTAATGTTTTTAATAAACAAACAGAACAAACTATCAATATAAGAAAAAAAATTAGTGTTTTAAATGTTTTACTAAAACGTATTTTAAAAAAAACTAAATTCCGCTACGTTTTGCCATCATTTTGTTCCACCGCCGCTACGCCGCTTTTGGGGGTGAATCCCGCTATGCGTAGCGGAATTCCGCTACGGTTGGCAACACTGCATATACCTATAACTTATGAGCGCGTTCGAAAACTCGCAAGAGTGCACTCTGGATACACTCCAAGTTTACCTTCGCGTTCGAATTCTCTGGTATATACCTAGATATATGCAACTGTCAGCTGTTCGAAAACAGCAAGTATATGCCCAGAGTGCACTCTCGGTTGTCCAAGCTTCATTAAAACAAACACGAAAAACATTAAAATAAAAGAATTTATTATATAATAAATTATTTAAAAAATTTCAATTCTAAAAAACAAAACAAAATCCATCACAAAAACTTAAATAATCCATATAACTAAAGGGTTGAAATTCAATAATTCAGTCAAATAACAAGCAAAACCAATTGATTTTAGAACACTCCCGGACAACAATCGGGATTTCCTGGTGAAGTCATGATGATATCACAACGTGATTTTTTTATCACGCTGTGATATCCTGAGTGCATACACATGCTTCATCACAGTGATATCATGTAGAACTCACGGTGTGATATTTGCAAAATTTGCGCATGCGTATGAGCCCTGCGAACTGCGAATTTAAAACCTAGTTTTGTAAAAACATTGGAATATCTTTTTTAATTGAACCCGGACAACATTCTTGATATTCATACGAACATCATGTCGTGATTTTCACATTCATACTGATATTATACGGAAGTCACAGCGTGATAAATGAAAATCATACGAACGTCACGTCGTGATTTTCACAAATTTTATTCATACAGACATCATCCGGATGTCACTGCGTGAGAAATGAAAATCATGTCGTGATTTTTTATGCCATCACTGTTTGCGATTGACCGATGGCCTAAAAAATCACGACATGATTTTTTATGCTATCGGTGTTTGGGCATAAAAAATCACGACATGATTGTTTATGCCATCGGTGCACCGACATGTTTGGATATTTATTTTTGCGCCACATTCGTACATTGAAAGAAAAGGTGGGCAGTTCTACGGAGCATGGTCGATTCGTGATATTCACCACTGAAGATCATAAATTAGTTTAAAACTATTTTTCTTTGGTTGCGGTTTGTTCATATTGATCTATTGTGAGTAAACCTTTGATAAAAACTTAAATTTAAAAAACAATTTTCTTTAGAAGCAGTTTTTTATCGTTCAAACTCCATCCCGTCACGCGTAACTTCACATGGTTTAGTCCTTTTGATGCATTAGTTTATACTTATCAAGATGGGTTTTTATCTTATACTACGAATAATATAATAAGATGTCCCAAATGTGATGGCAAATTAAAATTTTTGTGATAACTCAACCCATTTCTCAAATACAGCGCCTAAAACGTTTGTAACTGGATTGTTACTCAAGACCATCACATTGCTTTTATTAGTTCCAAATTTATTCGCAAGGATTACTACTCACCAATACGGGGTTGGTATCATATGTCTTTAGTCGTAAATGGTATGGCTAATAATAGTGTCGCGCTGTGAGTTAAAGTTCTAAAATTGTGTTTATTTTTGCGGTAAGTACAAATTTGGTAAACTTTTATGTTTCTTAACCGTCACACTGTTTAGTTTATTATGCAAGTTTCAAAAGGTACCAAAATATTTTTTCATTTTAAGCTTCTTGTTGTTCATTGTTTGGCTAACACCACTTTTCAACTGCGGTTAATAAATAAATACTAGGCGCCAATTTTGTATCGTGGTCCTCAAGACCGTCACCATCGAGACCAGTGCTGCCAGATGAACGGATTTATCCGTTTTTTACGGATTTTCCAGGTCTAGAGAAATTGGAAACGGATTTTGAACGGATTTTCATCAAATACGGATTTTTACGGATTTTTAAGATAGCTTCATACTAATACTAAAAAAACATCATTTTTGCCCCGTTTTTTGATCATCTTTGTCACGCTTCTATTCCTCTTCCTTTTTACTACGTTAGACAGAAAAAGAAAGCGGATTGAAAAAGGATGTGTTCTTAATATAGGGTTCTTAAACGCCGAATATATGCGAAACATATGCTTTTTCATTGAGTGTGACAAAGAGAACGAGAACGTTTCATATCATTTGTTAAGGTTTTATAACACGTTGTTATTGCTGCCAATATATAATTAAGCGGCGCAATGCCACCAATAGTAACGACTAACCAATACTGACTCCAGTTCAGTGCATTGAACTGCATTGTAGCAATATTTTGATCTCAAAGTCAATGTTTATTATATATCCGAATCTGTATATAAAATACTTTATTTTGTGAAAAATGGAAAGTGACGAGAATTATATCACTGTCGAAGAGGTTCAAACTTCTGAAACTCCCCCGAAAAATTCTGAGATGTTTCGGATTTTCTTTGACGAAAGGTATGTTTTGTCACGAAAATCCCCCTTTAAGAAATTTTTCGAAATTTAGACAAAAACGGAATATTACGGATTTTTCGAGGCTTCCCCCCACCCTTTCCACGAATATATACGGATTATCCGACCATCTGCTCTGGCAGCACTGATCGAGACCGTCACTCTACGTCAAACTTTAAGTGTGATGGTCTTGAGGAACCTTGTGACGGTGGTTTCCGCTTAGAATTTTACTGTGTATTTCTACCTTCTTTTATGGAGATACGGACGTTATTTAAAATAGATAGCAGGATAGGAATGGAACAAAGTAAAAACAATCCCAAGTAGCACAGTATATGATATTCATATGCTCCAGACCTTCCCGATATGTCTAGTATATACCTGAGGTGATCTTCATGTTCCTGTCATATTATCGAAAGCATATGAAAAACAGATTATGCTGTTCCTAAGAATATCATGCACCTATACCGAAACACAAATATTACACGACATCTCAAGAATTCTGTTAACATCCTGATTGCGTCTGTCGACAGACGCAATCGGATCCCGGCTAATTTGTCACCAGTTAACATAATTATGATGCAAAGTAACAACTTTAATAGTTAATTATTAACTTTCACCTGTAATTTGTCACCTGTCATTTACCACCTGTCATTTGTCACCTGTCATCTGTCACCTGTCCTATGATGAAAGGTGACAGATATCTGTCAGCTTAAGGTTACTGACATAATATAATAGTTATAATATAATACAATGTATTATATAGGTTTTAAAAAAATGTTTTTGTCAAGTTTTGCGCCAAATATTTAAAAAAATCCAGTTCTTCATCTCTATAAAAAGATTACAATCTAAATAATTATTATTTTATGTATCAAATAATAATCATTATTATCTAATAACTATTGTAAATACTTAATTGTTGCTATAAACCATGCAGGGAACAATAATAATTAATAACAAAATTATTTCTAATTTCTAAAATTTTAAATTTCGCGGTTTAATGTAATTTTCTGATTCGGATTGCTTCGTTGAGCGTCGCCCTCTCTCGCAATCTTCGAGTCTTTCGACATCTTTACAAGCTAACGCGACTTGGCCGCCATTAGTGAACCTGTTGCGCGATTTGAGCCGGCTATGCCATGTGCCTTTTCGTTTTTCTATAAATTCTATAATATCTAGTGTGTATTGTGATCTAGTGAAGATTTGGATTCCAAATTTGGAAGTAGAAGATCCCCTGTA